CAGAAATACTTGAGTCTGAGATACACACGCACACTTGTAAGAGCAGAAATACTTTAGTCTGAGATACACACGCACACTTGTAAGAGCAGAAATACTTGAGTCTGAGATACACACGCACACTTGTAAGAGCAGAAATACTTTAGTCTGAGATACACACGCACACTTGTAAGAGCAGAAATACTTTAGTCTGAGATACACACGCACACTTGTAAGAGCAGAAATACTTTAGTCTGAGACACACACGCACACTTGTAAGAGCAGAAATACTTGAGTCTGAGACACACACGCACACTTGTAAGAGCAGAAATACTTGAGTCTGAGACACACACGCACACTTGTAAGAGCAGAAATACTTTAGTCTGAGACACACACGCACACTTGTAAGAGCAGAAATACTTTAGTCTGAGATACACACGCACACTTGTAAGAGCAGAAATACTTTAGTCTGAGACACACACGCACACTTGTAAGAGCAGAAATACTTTAGTCTGAGACACACACGCACACTTGTAAGAGCAGAAATACTTGAGTCTGAGATACACACGCACACTTGTAAGAGCAGAAATACTTTAGTCTGAGATACACACGCACACTTGTAAGAGCAGAAATACTTTAGTCTGAGATACACACGCACACTTGTAAGAGCAGAAATACTTTAGTCTGAGATACACACGCACACTTGTAAGAGCAGAAATACTTTAGTCTGAGATACACAGCACACTTGTAAGAGCAGAAATACTTGAGTCTGAGACACACACGCACACTTGTAAGAGCAGAAATACTTTAGTCTGAGATACACACGCACACTTGTAAGAGCAGAAATACTTTAGTCTGAGATACACACGCACACTTGTAAGAGCAGAAATACTTGAGTCTGAGATACACACGCACACTTGTAAGAGCAGAAATACTTTAGTCTGAGATAAACACGCACACTTGTAAGAGCAGAAATACTTTAGTCTGAGATACACACGCACACTTGTAAGAGCAGAAATACTTTAGTCTGAGATACACACGCACACTTGTAAGAGCAGAAATACTTTAGTCTGAGATACACAGCACACTTGTAAGAGCAGAAATACTTGAGTCTGAGACACACACGCACACTTGTAAGAGCAGAAATACTTTAGTCTGAGATACACACGCACACTTGTAAGAGCAGAAATACTTTAGTCTGAGATACACACGCACACTTGTAAGAGCAGAAATACTTTAGTCTGAGATACACAGCACACTTGTAAGAGCAGAAATACTTGAGTCTGAGACACACACGCACACTTGTAAGAGCAGAAATACTTTAGTCTGAGATACACACGCACACTTGTAAGAGCAGAAATACTTTAGTCTGAGATACACACGCACACTTGTAAGAGCAGAAATACTTTAGTCTGAGATACACACGCACACTTGTAAAAGCAGAAATACTTAAGTCTGAGATACACACACTTGTAAGAGCAGAAATACTTAAGTCTGAGACACACACACAGTGTCGGCATGCCTCAAGCTGTCTGATGTCTTGGCACTGGTTACTGATTTTCCAGCTCTAACCCAATGATGTCTGATGGCAAGAGTCTGTGAAGTAGATGAAAGAAGATTGGCGAGTGACTATCAATGACGTCTTAAACAAGTGAAAGAATTAGAGAGGACGTGTGTTTTGACTTGAGACATTCTCGGGTTCGTGTTTTCTCAAGGTTCTGCGGTGCACATTGATGTACTATTTTTAGGGCAACTCAATAGCCTGCCTTTTCTTCAGCGGTCAGCAGCCAGTCAATAGCTTGGCCCTACAGTGGTCAGCAGCCAGTCAATAGCTTGGCCCTTTCTTCAGTGGTCGGTGGCCAGTCAATAGCTTGGCCCTTCAGTGGTCAGCAGCCAGTCAATAGCCTGGCCCTTTCTTCAGTGGTCAGCAGCCAGTCAATAGCTTGGCCCTTCAGTGGTCAGCGGCCAGTCAATAGCCTGGCCCTTTCTTCAGTGGTCAGCAGCCAGTCAATAGCTTGGCCCTTTCTTCAGTGGTCAGCAGCCAGTCAATAGCTTGGCCCTTCAGTGGTCAGCAGCCAGTCAATAGCCTGGCCCTTCAGTGGTCATTGGCCAGTCAATAGCTTGGCCCTACAGTGGTCAGCGGCCAGTCAATAGCCTGGTCCTGTCTTCAGTGGTCAGCAGCCAGTCAATAGCCTGGCCCTTCAGGGGTCAGCAGCCAGTCAATAGCCTGGCCCTTTCTTCAGTGGTCAGCAGCCAGTCAATAGCTTGGCCCTTTCTTCAGTGGTCAGCAGCCAGTCAATAGCTTGGCCCTTTCTTCAGTGGTCAGCAGCTAGTCAATAACTTGGCCCGTCAGCAGCCAGTCAATAGCCTGGCCCTTCAGTGGTCAGCAGCCAGTCAATAACTTGGCCCTTTCTTCAGTGGTCAGTGGCCAGTCAATAGCTTGCCCTTTCTTCAGTGGTCAGCAGCCAGTCAATAGCTTGGCCCTTCAGTGGTCAGCAGCCAATCAATAGCCTTGCCCTTTCTTTAGTGGTCAGCAGCCCACTTGATTTCTGTAGTATCTCGATCTCTGTCACGGTGGAGTCCACTACACTAATGTTGTCTGTATCTTGTGTGACTGTCCTCCAACCAATCAAATGTTTCAGTCTATCAAGTCAAATGTTGGTAGTTGTAAACCACGTCTAAATAAAACTGTTTTAAATTTAAAGTTTTTAGGGTACAAATATTTTTGCAAATCAAAGTTATATCAAGCTACATCTGGCCGCAATCACATTTAGCGTTAGGATCACGGCTATTGGCAGGGTTAAGGTCACGGCTATTGGCAGGGTTAAGGTCACGGCTGTAGGCAGGGTTAAGGTCACGGGTTTTGGCAGGGTTAAGGTCATGGCTATTGGCAGAGTTAAGGTCATGGCTATTGGCAGAGTTAAGGTCAAGATTGTGGTGAGGGCTAAAAAAAGTGAGTTAAGATAAATGACACTGACCCTAAAAAAAAATTATTTTTATTTACTTTTAGTTTATAGCTGCTTATACTATACCCGTTTCTGTGATGTAATGAGTATCAGCTACCCGTTTCTGTGTCGCTCGGTATGATCCACGCCAACTAACACGGCCAGATAGCCTAGCCTGCTACCGGCTAGCCATGTATTCTATTGGTGCAAATTGTTCCTTATGTAATAAATGTAGCGTTGTCGTGTTGCACATTGTACGAAACCGGTCTAATTCAGAATGGCTTGTATGTGGTCATCGATCCGAGACATTCCAGGAATGTTTGACTTAGTCAATAAATCATTCACTTGTTTGATTCAACTAGACAGCAGACAGCCTTCATCTCTCTGCTTAGATCTAATGGATCTCTCCCTACTTGACATACTGAACCACCCCTGACTACCTTACGATCTTGTCCAACAGTGTTTATAACAACTGTGCAGCAAAAGGGTCAAAACTACCATAAAAGTTGGTCCCTGTTATGTTCTCCCCACCACCACAACATGACCACGTGGGTCTGTTCTCCCCACCAACACATGTTCTCCCCACCACCACAACATGACCACGTGGGTCTGTTCTCCCCACCACCACAATATGACCACGTGGGTCTGTTCTCCCCACCAACACAATATGACCACGTGGGTCTGTTCTCCCCACCCAACACAATATGACCACGTGGGTCTGTTCTCCCCACCCAACACAATATGACCACGTGGGTCTGTTCTCCCCACCACCACAATATGACCACGTGGGTCTGTTCTCCCCACCAACACAATATGACTGCACTAAACATATGATTGATGGCTCCTTACTCTTGTCAACGTATCATGGTCTGTGCTTGACTTTTATCAATAAATCTTGAAATAAATCGCCTAGACAAGGACTCAAGTTTCCTATATATTAACCAGTGATAAATCGCGTAGACAAGGACTCAAGTTTCGTATATATTAACCAGTGATACTAAGAATAAATCGCGTAGACAAGGACTCAAGTTTCCTATATATTAACCAGTGATAAATCGCGTAGACAAGGACTCAAGTTTCCTATATATTAACCAGTGATAAATCGCGTAGACAAGGACTCAAGTTTCCTATATATTAACCAGTGATACTAAGAGAGGTCTCTCGGCTTTACTCTCTGCTTAGATTTGATTGGTTTCACCTCTACTTGAATTACCTCTGCTTGGGTTTACCTCTACTTGAGATTACCTCTGTTTTTACCTCTACTTGAATCACCTCTGCTTGGGTTTGCCTCTACTTGAATTACCTCAGCTTGGTTTCACCTCTACTTGAGATTACCTCTGCTTGAATTACCTCTACTTGAATCACCTCTGCTTGAATTACCTCTGCTTGAATTACCTCTGCTTGAATTATCTCTACTTGAATCACCTCTGCTTGAATTACCTCTACTTGAATTACCTCTGCTTGGTTTCACCTCTACTTGAATTACCTCTGCTTGGTTTCACCTCTACTTGAATTACCTCTGCTTGGTTTCACCTCTACTTGAATTACCTCTGCTTGGGTTCACCTCTACTTGAGATTACCTCTACTTGGGTTCACCTCTACTTGGGTTCACCTCTACTTGGGTTCACCTCTACTTGGGTTCACCTCTGCTTGGGTTTACCTCTGCTTGGTTTCACCTCTACTTGAATTACCTCTGCTTGGTTTCACCTCTACTTGAATTACCTCTGCTTGGGTTCACCTCTACTTAAGATCACCTCTACTTGAATTACCTCTGCTTGGGTTCACCTCTACTTGAATTACCTCTGCTTGGGTTCACCTCTACTTGAATTACCTCTGCTTGGGTTTACCTCTACTTAAGATCACCTCTACTTGAGATTACCTCTACTTGGGTTCACCTGTTTGGCTAATGTGACCCAGCTCCAAGTGTGAGCTGATGAGCTTGACACAGCATCTGCTGGGGTCAGAGAAAATCAATAACTCGTTGATTCAAGAATTCTGTACTGATTACTAGATTTGACTGGGTGGGTGGTTAGCTTTAATCACTGGTTATCTTATGTTTATTGTTGCTTTCATCCTTAGTGTTTGAGAAGAAAGATAAAATTGTCTTGGTGATGGACTACGCTCAAGGGGGAGAGCTCTACGACTACCTCAACAAAATGGGGAAGTTGAATGAGCGGGAAGCAAGGCGGATCTTTCGTCAAATCGTCTCGGCCATACACTACTGCCACCAGGTACGCTTGTTATTTCCATCCTTCATTAGATCAGTTGCTGGGCGGTCTTTGTGGAACAAGAGCAGTCCCGTGGGCAACTAGGACAGGCTTATGGTATCTGACCAGGGGTATCTGACCAATGGTGACAGGGGACATAGGGTAACAATGTCTGACCAACATTGATAGGGGACATAGGGTAACAATGTCTGACCAACATTGATAGGGGACATAGGGTAACAATGTCTGACCAACATTGATAGGGGACATAGGGTAACAATGTCTGACCAACATTGATAGGGGACATAGGGTAACAATGTCTGACCAACATTGATAGGGGACATAGGGTAACAATGTCTGACCAACATTGATAGGGGACATAGGGTAACAATGTCTGACCAACAGTAGTTCTGTTAAAGCTAAAGAACTGATCAGTGATTTATATTGGAGAATGTGCGGCACTGTTGGTTTCTCTATAGTCTGACAACCCACAGCTTGTGCATGAAATGCTAATATTGTCTACCCTTATTCCTTCGTTAGAATGGTATTGTGCACAGAGATTTGAAGCTAGAGAACATTATACTGGATGATGAGGGCAATGTCAAGGTAAGCTAAGGAAATGTTGTAGAGCCTTAGCTGGAGATTGATTGTTAGATATTATGATGCTATATTAAGTACAACTACAAACATCTGTTTGATGGATAGCCTCGCCGTGTTTGTTCCCCAGATTGCTGACTTTGGTCTGTCAAACTACTACAGTCTAAATAGTACCTTAAAGACATTCTGTGGCAGCCCTCTCTACGCATCTCCTGAGATTGTCAATGGGAAACCCTATCATGGCCCTGAGGTAAGCTTGCTAACTCTTGTGTATGACATAGCCCAGAACCCTACCATGGCCCTGAGGTAAGCTTGCTAACTCTATGACATAGCCCAGAACCCTATCATGGCCCTGAGGTAAGCTTGCTAACTCTATGACATAGCCCAGAACCCTATCATGGCCCTGAGGTAAGCTTGCTAACTCTATGACATAGCCCAGAACCCTATCATGGCCCTGAGGTAAGCTTGCTAACTCTTGTGTATGACATAGCCCAGAACCCTATCATGGCCCTGAGGTAAGCTTGCTAACTCTATGACATAGCCCAGAACCCTATCATGGCCCTGAGGTAAGCTTGCTAACTCTTGTGTATGACATAGCCCAGAACCCTATCATGGCCCTGAGCTTGCTAACTCTTGTGTATGTCATAGCCCAGCTTGCTAACTCTATGACATAGCCCAGAACCCTATCATGGCCCTGAGGTAAGCTTGCTAACTCTATGACATAGCCCAGAACCCTATCATGGCCCTGAGCTTGCTAACTCTATGACATAGCCCAGAACCCTATCATGGCCCTGAGGTAAGCTTGCTAACTCTATGACATAGCCCAGAACCCTATCATGGCCCTGAGGTAAGCTTGCTAACTCTATGACATAGCCCAGAACCCTATCATGGCCCTGAGGTAAGCTTGCTAACTCTATGACATAGCCCAGAACCCTATCATGGCCCTGAGGTAAGCTTGCTAACTCTTGTGTATGGCATAGCCCAGAACCCTATCATGGCCCTGAGGTAAGCTTGCTAACTCTATGACATAGCCCAGAACCCTATCATGGCCCTGAGGTAAGCTTGCTAACTCTTGTGTATGACATAGCCCAGAACCCTATCATGGCCCTGAGATAAGCTTGCTAACTCTATGACATAGCCCAGAACCCTGTCATGGCCCTGAGGTAAGCTTGCTAACTCTATGACATAGCCCAGAACCCTATCATGGCCCTGAGGTAAGCTTGCTAACTCTATGACATAGCCCAGAACCCTATCATGGCACTGAGGTAAGCTTGCTAACTCTGTTGTATAACCCCCCCCCCCCCCCATGTATGATACGCCCCAATGGCTCCCAGTGCCAGGAGAAGCAGGGACATGCTCCAGTAGCTGCCTAAGCAGCTTATGTACAGAGATGTGGGTATCTCTTACTTAACACATGACATAACAGTGGACCCAGATTTTACACACTAGAACTTAATAAACACAGAGCATTAAAACTGCAGCTGGAAGGTGGTGACTGCCCCTGAGGTGGGGGGGGGGAGCGCCGGACATTCTTAAATGATAAATATACCACCCCCACTTGTAATCACAAGGGGAGTTGTCCATGAATTGCAAAATTCGCCTATGTATTGGGGTATCCACTATGGTGTGTCCATGGCTGTGTATCCACTATGTTGTGTCTACGGCTGTGTATCCACTATGGTGTGTCTATGGCTGTGTATCCACTATGATGTGTCTAGGGCTGTGTATCCACTATGTTGTGTCTACGGCTGTGTATCCACTATGATGTGTCTACGGCTGTGTATCCACTATGGTGTGTCTATGGCTGTGTCTATGGCTGTGTATCCACTATGTTGTGTCTACGGCTGTGTATCCACTATGGTGTGTCTACGGCTGTTATCCACTATGGTGTGTCTATGGCTGTGTCTACGGCTGTGTATCCTCTATGATGTGTCTACGGCTGTGTATCCACTATGGTGTGTCTATGGCTGTGTATCCACTATGGTGTGTCTATGGCTGTGTATCCAATATGGTGTGTCTATGGCTGTGTATCCACTATGTTGTGTCTATGGCTGTGTATCCACTATGTTGTGTCTACAGCTGTGTATCCACTATGTTGTGTCTACAGCTGTGTATCCAATATGGTGTGTCTATGGCTGTGTATCCACTATGGTGTGTCTATGGCTGTGTATCCACTATGGTGTGTCTATGGCTGTGTATCCAATATGGTGTGTCTATGGCTGTGTATCCACTATGTTGTGTCTATGGCTGTGTATCCACTATGTTGTGTCTACAGCTGTGTATCCACTATGTTGTGTCTACAGCTGTGTATCCACTATGGTGTGTCTATGGCTGTGTATCCACTATGTTGTGTCTACAGCTGTGTATCCACTATGTTGTGTCTATGGCTGTGTATCCACTATGTTGTGTCTACGGCTGTGTATCCACTATGGTGTGTCTATGGCTGTGTCTATGGCTGTGTATCCACTATGATGTGTCTAGGGCTGTGTATCCACTATGTTGTGTCTACGGCTGTGTATCCACTATGATGTGTCTACGGCTGTGTATCCACTATGGTGTGTCTATGGCTGTGTCTATGGCTGTGTATCCACTATGTTGTGTCTACGGCTGTGTATCCACTATGGTGTGTCTACGGCTGTTATCCACTATGGTGTGTCTATGGCTGTGTCTACGGCTGTGTATCCTCTATGATGTGTCTACGGCTGTGTATCCACTATGGTGTGTCTATGGCTGTGTATCCACTATGGTGTGTCTATGGCTGTGTATCCAATATGGTGTGTCTATGGCTGTGTATCCACTATGTTGTGTCTATGGCTGTGTATCCACTATGTTGTGTCTACAGCTGTGTATCCACTATGTTGTGTCTACAGCTGTGTATCCACTATGTTGTGTCTACAGCTGTGTATCCAATATGGTGTGTCTATGGCTGTGTATCCACTATGGTGTGTCTATGGCTGTGTATCCACTATGGTGTGTCTATGGCTGTGTATCCAATATGGTGTGTCTATGGCTGTGTATCCACTATGTTGTGTCTATGGCTGTGTATCCACTATGTTGTGTCTACAGCTGTGTATCCACTATGTTGTGTCTACAGCTGTGTATCCACTATGGTGTGTCTATGGCTGTGTATCCACTATGTTGTGTCTACAGCTGTGTATCCACTATGTTGTGTCTATGGCTGTGTATCCACTATGTTGTGTCTATGGCTGTGTATCCACTATGGTGTGTCTATGGCTGTGTATCCACTATGGTGTGTCTATGGCTGTGTATCCACTATGGTGTGTCTACAGCTGTGTATCCACTATGTTGTGTCTATGGCTGTGTATCCACTATGGTGTGTCTACAGCTGTGTATCCACTATGTTGTGTCTACGGCTGTGTATCCACTATGGTGTGTCTACGGCTGTTATCCACTAAGGTGTGTCTATGGCTGTGTCTACGGCTGTGTATCCTCTATGATGTGTCTACGGCTGTGTATCCACTATGGTGTGTCTATGGCTGTGTATCCACTATGGTGTGTCTATGGCTGTGTATCCAATATGGTGTGTCTATGGCTGTGTATCCACTATGTTGTGTCTATGGCTGTGTATCCACTATGTTGTGTCTACAGCTGTGTATCCACTATGTTGTGTCTACAGCTGTGTATCCACTATGTTGTGTCTACAGCTGTGTATCCAATATGGTGTGTCTATGGCTGTGTATCCACTATGGTGTGTCTATGGCTGTGTATCCACTATGGTGTGTCTATGGCTGTGTATCCAATATGGTGTGTCTATGGCTGTGTATCCACTATGTTGTGTCTATGGCTGTGTATCCACTATGTTGTGTCTACAGCTGTGTATCCACTATGTTGTGTCTACAGCTGTGTATCCACTATGGTGTGTCTATGGCTGTGTATCCACTATGTTGTGTCTACAGCTGTGTATCCACTATGTTGTGTCTACAGCTGTGTATCCACTATGTTGTGTCTATGGCTGTGTATCCACTATGTTGTGTCTATGGCTGTGTATCCACTATGTTGTGTCTATGGCTGTGTATCCACTATGGTGTGTCTATGGCTGTGTATCCACTATGGTGTGTCTACAGCTGTGTATCCACTATGTTGTGTCTATGGCTGTGTATCCACTATGGTGTGTCTACGGCTGTGTATCCACTATGATGTTTCTACGGCTGTGTATCCACTATGTTGTGTCTACAGCTGTGTATCCACTATGTTGTGTCTACAGCTGTGTATCCACTATGTTGTGTCTACAGCTGTGTATCCACTATGTTGTGTCTATGGCTGTGTATCCACTATGTTGTGTCTACAGCTGTGTATCCACTATGGTGTGTCTACAGCTGTGTATCCACTATGTTGTATCTATGGCTGTGTATCCACTATGTTGTGTCTATGGCTGTGTATCCACTATGGTGTGTCTACAGCTGTGTATCCACTATGGTGTGTCTACAGCTGTGTATCCACTATGATGTGTCTATGGCTGTGTATCCACTATGGTGTGTCTATGTCTGTGTATCCACTATGGTGTGTCTACAGCTGTGTATCCACTATGTTGTGTCTATGGCTGTGTATCCACTACGGTGTGTCTATGGCTGTGTATCCACTATGTTGTGTCTATGGCTGTGTATCCACTACGGTGTGTCTATGGCTGTGTATCCACTATGTTGTGTCTATGGCTGTGTATCCACTATGGTGTGTCTACGGCTGTGTACGGTGTGTCTACATGGCGCCACCACTGCTACAACAAAGGAAAGTGTATTTGTTCAAAAGTTTTTAAAAAATGGCTGTTAGATAAGAGGCCATTGAACAGACGGTGGGTGTGTCTCGGCACAAGCAACTCATGTAAGAAGTTTATCGTTTGACCATGTTTTATTCCCTGGGCTATCAGCTCCTTCCTTATTGTCTTATCTTCTGGGGATTTTATGACCTCATGTATGGCTTGACTAGTTCAACCAGCAGCCAAACTACAGTGGCCAACATTTCACTTGTCTACAATTTATTCCTACATACAATTCTAATTTCAAGTTAGCGCCCTTTGTTTTTGAGCCTTCTTTGCTCAGGTCGGCGTTTGATCTGTCTCCCGTTCGCCCCACCCCTCAAGCAGCTATTATCCTTACTCCTCTAAGCGATAGATCTGGTGCTAGTAGTCCAATGTGGATATCACATGACGTCCTTCTCTGTCTTGGCGATATCCATTGATCTATATGGACCAAAAATGATCTTTATGGACCAGTAAATGATCTTTATGGACCAGTAAATAATCTCTATGGACCAGTAAATGATCTTTATGGACCAGTAAATGATCTTTATGGACCAGTAAATGATCTCTATGGACCAGTAAATGATCTCTATGGACCAGTAAATGATCTTTATGGACCAGTAAATGATCTTTATGGACCAGTAAATGATCTTTATGGACCAGTAAATGATCTTTATGGACCAGTAAATGATCTCTATGGACCAGTAAATGATTTCTATGGACCAGTAAATGATCTTTATGGACCAGTAAATGATCTTTATGGACCAGTAAATGATTTCTATGGACCAGTAAATGATCTTTATGGACCAGTAAATGATCTCTATGGACCAGTAAATGATTTCTATGGACCAGTAAATGATCTCTATGGACCAGTAAATGATTTCTATGGACCAGTAAATGATCTTTATGGACCAGTAAATGATCTTTATGGACCAGTAAATGATCTCTATGGACCAGTAAATGATTTCTATGGACCAGTAAATGATCTTTATGGACCAGTAAATGATCTTTATGGACCAGTAAATGATCTCTATGGACCAGTAAATGATTTCTATGGACCATTAAATAAACGATCTATATACACCAGTAAATTATCTCTATGGACCAAAAGTGATCTCTATGGACCAAAAGTGATCTCTATGGACCATTAAATAAACGATCTATATGGACCAGTAAATTATCTCTATGGACCAAAAGTGATCTCTATGGACCATTAAATAAACGATCTATATGGACCAGTAAATTATCTCTATGGACCAGCACAACCACTAAACTAAGGCATGGAAATCATTGATTTCGTCCATGGCATTTGGTTTACATTGTTAGGAATTTCTTGTATCATAAAGTCAACATTACCGACTTGGTTGTGGGCTTATGTTGCTACGTGTGTATGTTACGTCGGTACATGTGTGTGTAACGTTGGTACATGTGTGTGTAATGTTGGTACGTGTGTGTGTGTGTAACGTTGATGTGTGTGTGTAACGTTGATACGTGTGTGTGTGTAACGTTTGGTACGTGTGTGTGTGTAACGTTGGCACGCGTGTGTGTAACGTTGATACGTGTGTGTGTAACGTTGATATGTGTGTGTGTAACGTTGGTACGTGTGTGTGTAACGTTGGTACGCGTGTGTGTAACGTTGGTACGTGTGTGTGTAACGTTGGTATGTGTGTGTGTAACGTTGGTACGTGTGTGTGTAACGTTGGTATGTGTGTGTGTAACGTTGGTACGTGTGTGTGTAACGTTGGTACGTGTGTGTAACGTTGGTATGTGTGTGTGTAACGTTGGTACGTGTGTGTATGTAACGTTGGTACGCGTGTGTGTGTAACGTTGGTACGTGTGTGTGTAACGTTGGTACGCGTGTGTGTAACGTTGGTACGTGTGTGTATGTAACGTTGGTATGCGTAACGTTGGTACGTGTGTGCGTGTGTAACGTTGGTACGTGTGTATGTAACGTTGGTACGCGTGTGTGTAACGTTGGTACGTGTGTGGGTATGTAACGTTGGTACGTGTGTGTATGTAACGTTGGTACGTGTGTGTGTGTAACGTTAGTACGTGTGTGGAGTCATACGTTAATAAAACATTGTATCGACAGCTGTATACCAGACCTGTGGTTATTTTGAAAACCTCTGGAACCTAATGGTTGTTGTCAGCTACTATTACTATACCGAAGTACCCACTCCTCCACCGAAGTACCCACTCCTCCACCTGTAACTAAACTCCTGTGCTCTAACCCCTTGTCCCACTCAAACACCCCCTGTCCACTGTAACCTGTGTACTGTACTAACCCCTTGTCCCACTCAAACACCCCTGTCCACTGTGTACTGTACTAACGCCTGTTGTCTTGTTGCAGGTGGACGTCTGGTCGCTGGGGGTGATACTGTACACTCTAGTCTACGGCTCCATGCCATTTGAGTCCAACAATCTGGTGACATTAAAGCAGCAGATCTCCAACGGTGACTACACCCAGCCAGCCAACTTATCAGGTATGTACAGGCAAGTTCTCGTCACCTGGTCATTTCACTTGTCTCACCTGGTCATTTCACTTGTCTCACACTTTCATTTCATCAAGTGTCTCACCTGGTCATTTCACTTGTCTCACCTGGTCATTTCATCAAGTGTCTCACCTGGTCATTTCATCAAGTGTCTCACCTGGTCATTTCATCAAGTGTCTCACCTGGTCATTTCATCAAGTGTCTCGCCTGGTCATTTCATCAAGTGTCTCGCTGGTCATTTCATCAAGTGTCTCACCTGGTCATTTCATCAAGTGTCTCACCTGGTCATTTCATCAAGTGTCTCACCTGGTCATTTCATCAAGTGTCTCACCTGGTCATTTCATCAAGTGTCTCACCTGGTCATTTCATCAAGTGTCTCACCTGGTCATTTCATCAAGTGTCTCACCTGGTCATTTCATCAAGTGTCTCACCTGGTCATTTCATCAAGTGTTTCACCTGGTCATTTCATCAAGTGTCTCGCCTGGTCATTTCATCAAGTGTCTTGCCTGGTCATTTCATCAAGTGTCTCACCTGGTCATTTCATCAAGTGTCTCACCTGGTCATTTCATCAAGTGTCTCACCTGGTCATTTCATCAAGTGTCTCACCTGGTCATTTCATCAAGTGTCTCACCTGGTCATTTCATCAAGTGTCTCGCCTGGTCATTTCATCAAGTGTCTCACCTGGTCGTTTCATCAAGTTGTCTCACCTGGTCATTTCACTTCTCACCTGGTCATTTCATCAAGTGTCTCACCTGGTTATTTCACTTGTGGCACAATGTCATTTCACGTATGTATTGTAGGTTTATTATTTATAATCAGTTCACCTTATCAGAACCCCACCCAAAACAAATGGCGACCAGGTGACCAGGTTTTGGTAGTTTGCCACCCTGTGAACCGGATGTATATATCCTGTCTTTTGTTTGGCCTACGGTGTAGCGCTGCCGTGTGAAGCCAATCAGTTTTGACTACACAGGCTATAGGGCGGGTTTTTATGCTGGAGCTTACATGTCAACAAAACATTGAGCCAGAGACTATACATTTTAGGCGACCCATTTTCATTATTAACTTGGAATTCTAAAAAAGTTTATATTTTTTGTATCTTTACAAATAGGAGTTCATTTCATGTCGATCTGTTTTCGTCTGCTTAAGGAGCTTGTTATATTATAAGTAGGGGCCTACACTACTTTCATTTATAAGTAGGGGCCTACACTACTTTCATTTATAAGTAGGGGCCTACACTACTTTCATTTATAAGTAGGGGCCTACACTACTTTCATTTATAAGTAGGGGCCTACACTACTTTCATTTATAAGTAGGGGCCTACACTACTTTCATTTATAAGTAGGGGCCTACACTACTTTCATTTATAAGTAGGGGCCTACACTACTTTCATTTATAAGTAGGGGCCTACACTACTTTCATTTATAAGTAGGGGCCTACACTACTTTCATTTATAAGTAGAGGCCTACACTACTTTCATTTATAAGTAGGGGCCTACACTACTTTCATTTATAAGTAGGGGCCTACACTACTTTCATTTATAAGTAAGGGTCTATACTACTTTCATAACACTGACTAGACCGATTGATACCACAGCTACATTGTAGGGCATGTGTAGTTCTTGCAAATGCCGTACCTTGACATGGGAAGAGTAGTGAAAGCTACCTACTACCCGGGGGGGGGGGGTGATCGGGATAAAAGTCACAGGAAAAAAAACAGAAAAAATATCAGTTTTTGCTAGGAAAAAAGTCACAGAAATAAAGTCACAAAAATCTTTTTAGAAATATTTTGATTTATTTGTTAAGTTTTGTAAAATTTTGTATGTTTATTGTTGTGGGTTGTATTTTTTGATAGCATAAATTATTTATAGACGTTAAAAGCATTATGGTTTATAACAATTATAAGTAAAAATACTCAACATAATTTACACAACAATCTCAACCTTTGTTACGTGTTTAGTTAAATACGCGGTAGAGAAGTTAATTATAAAAGAAATTTAGGCACATTATTGTGCTTTGCATATGTTTTGCCGTAGGCTATTCTATGGTCGGCCTCTCCTCAATAGGCATTGTCCGAACATATTGTGTGTTGTTGACTTTTTGTGTCAATGACGGCCTTTGAACCTTGTCGGCTTTCTGTTTTGATCCCATGCTTTGTTATGTAATGAGCGCGATAAATGTGGGCAGTAAAGGTGGTTGAACTAAGCATAACTATTCTTGCGATGAGTTGAGGGCAGTAAGTCAGATGGTATTTAAAAAAAACCACGATAAAAACCGCGGACTTTGGGGCATTCTATTAAATGCTATTAATATTATGTTTAAGATAATTACAATCAAACACTTCATACTAAATATTTTTAGATGAATTATAAATGGGCTAGGCTCAGCACCTACTACTTAAGGTTCATGTCTGGTACGTATGGTCGTATTGGCTCTTGTGTGTTCAAACAAATTAACGCGAGCCTAGATGCTGGTGACAAGCGCAAATCACAGGTGACATGGTGGGGCACTTGATTGGTTTTGTTCTGGAACAAACTAGGCCCCTACTTCATCCAATTTACGATTGACTCTGTGTAGTTGATGCATAAGAGCGTTGTGTAATGTACAGGACAGGCTACAAGAAAACGTTGGTCTTACAGCCAGACGCATCAAGTGATGGGGGAGGGGGGGGTGGTTATCATATAACTTGTACAGCACCCGTCTTTAAAAACAGCTTCCAACATGGCAAAGACCCGTTAAACATGTCATTTCGTCTCCACTTGATGTCGCCGCCACGTCTAGTTGAAACTTTGGGCTTTGTTTACTAACACTCGTCACTTATGTAAGCAGCAGATAATTATGACAACTATATATAGCGTCTGCTCTAGATTACTTTAGACAAGCGCTGTTAGTGAGATGTCCTCAGCTGGCGGAGGTTTCTTCACGTAACACACATGACGTTCAGAAACGTTCTGTGAACTTGGTGGAAGAAAGTTCTTAACACGGCGGGTTTCTAACGTAACAAACGGACCCGCCCCATATTTTTCCCCTCTGGCTGTTGTTACAGAGAGACGAGTCAGTGAGTTGGTCTCTGTGCCAGCAAAAGGCCAAATTGTCATCTGATAACTGTCGTGTCCTTTGCCTGGCCCAACATTTTGCTTGATCGTACACAGATCTCTGGCCCTGTGGAACTTAAATGTCACGTTTGGGGAAATTAACTTGATCATAATAGCTTCCGGTATTTAAACATTTTCATGGCAGGGAAAATAGTCGCATTTGAACAATGAACGAGTTAGTCTAGACTTGGTTTGAAATAAGTGTGGCTTACATGTGCTGCAACACAAACCCCTTAGATTCTCTCTCCTGCTCAAGGTTTTGGTGGGCCCTGGACAACTACTGCATACATTATCCAGATCAACAGTTAGACATAACTTACTCAAGTGGTCCTTGTTTACCTTTGTAATATACCAGCCAAGATTGTATCCTCGCCTACCTCTACTTTTATGTTTGCTCCATTCACCAAGTCGTGTTTATCACCAACAATCAATGTGCATTGTGTAGCAATGTTGTGTAGCCATCTGTTGCTCCAGGAGCTTAGATCTACAGCAGGCACATGACAAACACGGATCAAATCTATCACAGCTTTATCTGGTTCATCTCATGCTGGGGGGTGGGCTGGGAAACACAGAATGCTGACTTAACACATTTTATAGTTAGCTTTTCAAAGCTTGCTGTATTAATCCCCAGTGCTCTATACATAAACAAAATACATAGGCTAGTAAACAGATTTCATCATTGGCTATTGATTATGCCTATTAAAATGAATTATAATGTATCATTTCATCATTTGGCTATTGACTTTTCCCATTACAATGAGTTCTAATGTATCATTATTTAGCTATTGACTGTGAATTCTAGTAATGTGTTGACTTTGTGTTTGCCCAGATGCTGCTGGTCTTATCCGCCACATGTTGACTGTGACAGCCTCTAGGAGGGCCACAATGGAAGATGCTCTACGCCACTGGTGGATCAACTTTGGCCACTCCCACATGCCTAATGAAGCCCCATACAGCCCAGATGATGAGCCCCCTGCCAGCAGCCACATGTTCTCCTGCTCCCAACCTCTGGTCATCCATCACAGAAACCAGAGCAGTATCTCTTCAGACTCTGATGTAGAGCTTGACTTGAGACCCAGTCGTTTCTCTAAGAGGAAGATGACTTTAGACAGTAGTGGCAACAGTGTTTCATCATCAGTAGCTGGCAGTCCCTCTGTTGAGACAAGCTGCAGTATATCCTCAGATGACCACAGCCACCCAGGTCTAACAAGCTTGCATGCTGACCTACAGTTGTCCTCTGAAATACTGGACATCTTCAAAGGCTGCAGCAGGAAATCCCTTGCCATGCTGCTGCATCCTGACAAAATCCAGCCAGCATTAGATGAGAGCCAGAGGGACACACCATACCAGCACAGTATGCCAGAAACTGTCAGCCCATCTGATCACAATACAAACTTAGTTTTTGATTCAGAAAAGAAGCCCCCTCGTGGCATCCTCAAGCGAAAGGGTAAATTTTCAGGAGGTGACAGTGTCACGCAAGAGGAGATCCCAAAGTCTGGACACCTGCCTCGCAGGCTGCCCTCCTTTAGAGATGAGGCCAATGGAATTTTTTCCTCCAGGCACAGGGCCAGTCAGCTGGTAGATGACAGTGTCACTCAGTCAACACACACGTACTTGTCTCCAAAATCCCAGCGACGACAACAGCATGAATCTCAGAGCACCTCGTGTCCTTCAGCATGTGTCAGTGGAGCCACCAGCCTTGTGGAAGTTGTGGCAGCCAGTGGTACCAACACCCAGCCTGAGAAAACTTGTGACACCACTAACATAGAGTCTTGTGACAAAGTTATACGCAGGCCTAAAAGTATCTTGAAAAGCTCCAGGAGCTCAATAGAGGAAGCCAAGAACAGACTGAGTGTCAGCAGTATAGGCTCCAACTCTTCTGCTGACATCCTGGACCTGTCCTACGACAGTGCTGACAGTGACCACTACGTCAACCAGCAGGCTGCCCCACCCCAGGAGGACCTGTCCTACGACAGTGCTGACAGTGACCACTACGTCAACCAGCAGGCTGCCCCACCCCAGGAGGGCACACCTGACGTCCAGCTGGAGGCAGCTCTAAGTCATCTCAGTCTCACACAGCAATACAAGCCTCGCTCACATCGGCGTTCATTAAGTGATGAGACTTCAAACATTTTTACCAACCCAAACACTCTCTTGTATAGATTGACACAAGATTCCCAGAGGCTGGTCTAATCTCTGGACTCATTTATCATGGCCACTAGTCTCAGTCCTGTATTAGCAGAACTTTTACGTGTCCATTCGAAGTTGCTTTAATACACAAGTGTTGCACTATTCTTTTGGTGGAGTGTGAGTGATGCCAACTGATCAACATTTGCTATGCAACATTTTTGGCAGCTTTTAATCTTCAACTATGCAACAGCTGTTACATCTGTTAAAAAAATACAAACTTGCAATACGATATTTTATTTCTGCATGATATATACATTCTGATGGACTGGATGTCTACTTTGTTGGTATATCTGTCTAGGTCACTGGTCAGCTTCAATATACATGGGTTCTTTTTAAATTTTGAAACAATATAGCTTTTCAAAAATGGTTAAAATGATTTTTAAAAAGTGGCAACATTTTTGTATTATAAAATTATTTATTTAAACTTGCCTATAGGTTTGATTGTTTGTGTCAACAACTGCCAGTTCATGTCTGGGGGGGGGGGGGGTGTTGTCTCACCTGCCCACACATTGAGCATGCATGGGATAGTTGTTTTTTTATCCAGTTTACTGATACTAGCCAGGGGCAATAACTAGACCTGAATCAAGATGTTTCTCTACTCTATGGGGATACACACCAGCAATCTGAAGATGACACAGACATGGTTAGTGTGGGATTAATCTTTGTTGTCAAATGTATTGCATAACAATTGATTTCAACTTACAAAAACTGTACCAGTGAATGTGTTCTTGTTAATTTTTCTCTGCCTGTATGTTGTTTACACATTGGTGCTAGCCTGCTCACTACTTGATGCTGCTGGACATTATATGTTGGTGTGCTATTTCAGGCCAACTGTAGGGTGTGAGGACTTGTAACCATTGGAACACTGAGCATTGGTTGGTTGTGAGAATGTTGTAGGGTTTTTAATGTTGAACACAGCTCATGACTGTCTTCTTTCTGTCCTATTTAAGGCCAACTCTAGGGTGTGAGTACACACTGAGCATATGGTTGGTTGTAAAATTTGAGAATGTTTTAGTAATGTTGAACACAGCTCATGACACTATGTGTTCTTTCTGCCTTTGTTTTGCTGTCTCACACTTTCATATTTCCAACCATTAACAGTGGACATGACATGTAAATAAACAATGTCACAAAAACCTGGGGGGGGGGGGGGGGGGGGGGGGCATTTTATTTTACAAATACCAAGTAACCACACATGTATACAAGAACCACAGTACATTTCACACTTCCAGACCACATTTCATACAACAGCAGCTCTAGAAATCCACAGCCTTTTATTTCTCAATACAATTCTGATATTATTTTCTCAAACTTTAAAAATCAATATTTGATACTTCCTTGCATAATTTGTGATAGTTTAGTGTTTGCTAGGTGCATATTGTACTGGCACCATCACAGTGTAAACATTGTATGGCTGGCTGACTCTTGTTCTTGCTTGTTTGCTTATATTTATCTTGTCAATAAAATATAAGAAATTTTGGTTGAGTTATTTTTTCATGTTCATACTTAATTGAGTTATTCAATAACTTATTGCCTCGGTTGGTTTTTTTTTACAGCTTGTTTTAAGTTTTATGGATCTGTAATCAATAACCAAATGTTGTGTTGCAACTTTCAGTGATCAATAACCAAATGTGTTGCAACTAGAAACGCTACATTAAATGCGTGCTCACAGCTACATCATTAAATGTGCCTGGTTTTTGTAGCTACCAATGGAAATATGTACTTGACACACCTCCACCCATTCCTCCGTGGACATCATTAAATGTGTACGTGTAGTTATAGCTACCAATGGAAATATGTACTGGACACACCTCCACCCATTCCTCCGTGGACATCATTAAATGTGTACGTGTAGTTATAGCTACCAATGGAAATATGTACTGGACACACCTCCACCCATTCCTTTGTGGACATCATTAAATGTGTACTTGTAGTTATAGCTACCAATGGAAATGTGTACTTGACACACCTCCACCATTACTTCGTGGACATCATTAAGTGTGTACGTGTAGTTATAGCTACCAATGGAAATATGTACTGGACACACCTCCACCATTACTTCGTGGACATCATTAAGTGTGTACGTGTAGTTATAGCTACCAGTGGAAATATGTACTTGACACACCTCCACCCATTCCTTCATGTGGCTCTACAGCCCACTGAAGATCCTGTCTGACCAGCTTTTTCCACTCAGACATTTTTAGTTTTCTTCCGACTGACCAGGCAACTAAAAATTGTATGAGTACTGATCACAGCTATCAATGTAATTAAACGTTTCTTGACCCTGAACACGTCTTACTTTGATAGCATGCAATAGGCCAAAATCTTTAAATGTTATATTTAAACATTTTTTAAAATAGTTCTACCATAAATTTACAGTGGAACCAAAGTGCCCTTACCACCAGTCTTCGTTCTATCGAAGAAACAGTTCCGCCTTCTCTTGTATACTGCACGTTTTTTACTAGCAAGTCGTGCTTTTGTGGCATGTCTGACGTGACGATAAAAAAAAACCTGGTCATCAAAGATTTATTTCTGTTGGCACGTGGTCTCGCATAAATTACATGGTCCTCAAGCTTATCAATACCCGACCTGAACTCCACAGCTGACGTCATGTGACCTGGTCTATCTCATCCAGCGGGTAATCCACAAAACGTTATGTGACCTGGTCTATCTGATCCAGCGGGTAATCCACAAAACGTTATGTGGCCTGGTCTATCTAATCCACAAAACGTTATGTGACCTGGTCTATCTCATCCAGCGGGTAATCCACAAAACGTTATGTGACCTGGTCTATCTAATCCACAAAACGTTATGTGACCTGGTCTATCTAATCCACAAAACGTTATGTGACCTGGTCTATCTAATCCACAAAACGTTATGTGACCTGGTCTATCTCATCCAGCGGGTAATCCACAAAACGTTATGTGACCTGGTCTATCTCATCCAGCGGGTAATCCACAAAACGTTATGTGGCCTGGTCTATCTCATCCAACGGGTAATCCACAAAACGTTATGTGGCCTGGTCTATCTAATCCAGGGGGTAATCCACAAAACGTTATGTGACCTGGTCTATCTCATCCAGCGGGTAATCCACAAAACGTTATGTGACCTGGTCTATCTCATCCAGCGGGTAATCCACAAAACGTTATGTGGCCTGGTCTATCTCATCCAACGGGTAATCCACAAAACGTTATGTGGCCTGGTCTATCTAATCCAGGGGGTAATCCACAAAACGTCATGTGGCCTGCACCACAGAGGTCGTAAAAAGTGTTTGTGCTGTCTTACTTGGTTGTTACTGGGAGCTCGTTTCTTTACCTTTTTTCAAATACTAACATCGTCTTCAGTAGTAAATATACATTAGAAATAGAGAGGTAAAATTAATGTGTCACCCTAATCGGTAAGGTTGCTGTTGTAAATGGAGACAATAGTATCTACGATTTCTTCAAAACATTTTACATGTCTAGACTCAATGACAATGCATTATGACATAAAATTTGGCTTAATTAGACCCAGATGTTTAATTGACTTTTTAAAAATTAATCAATGTTTCTCTTATTAACCACTCATTTTCGGCTCTTATACACACATTGTTTATTTTCATTTGGCGCGCAATTCTTTTTTCTACACAATTTTATTCTAATATTTACCTTCTCGTAAATGAAGTATAATAGGAAGTATTGTAATCGTGAAAAAAAAATCGAAATTTTTACAGATTTCGACGTTTGACACCTCCCCGAGTCGGAAAAATAGTTTTGCAATTTTGTCCGTATGTCTGCGTGTGTGTATGTGAACACGATAACTTGAGTACCATTAAAACTAGGTTGATGAAATTTCATATATAAGTATAAGTATAAGAAAAACGAAAACGAAAAAGCAAACGAAGACAAATCAAAACCAACCACTAACGCAAACCCAAACTAAACACAAAGAAAACACAAACGCATACATAAACGCAAAGTGCTCATAGTCTATCCCGGGGCGCAAAATCGCACCATGCTGGGACGCCGGCGGAACCGCCTGTTTCAGCTTAGTAAACGTCTATAGTACCCCAACTTATTCATAGTCATTTGCACTCACTTAAACGAACGTAGGCGCCAAACCGAACACGGGAAGGCCCGGGGCCCCAAATAGCACCATGTCTGGGCGCTGGAGGACGCCCGGATTGGGGCGCATGAGGACGCCCGGATTCGATTCACTCAAAGACTATAGTAACCTTTTTTATCCATAATCTATCGCACTGTTTAAAGCGAAATTATGCACCACAGCGCTCAAAGGATAGCCCAGGGTGCCAAATCGAACCCTGCTGGGGCGCCGGCGGACGCGCCTGTTTCAATTTAGTGAACCATTATAATACTCAAGCTTATCCGTAAACGGAAAGAAACATATAGGTCATGTAGGACCTGGCTTATTAACTATTATTGATTTTAAAAAATAATTAGTAAACAGTAACGTTCAGTGTATAGAATAAATAAAAGGCAGTATTAAAGAATATTCGTGAAAGTTTAGGGGAGATCACTCCCGGTTTATTTAAAAGTGTTAGTTATACACGAGAAAGTTTAATAAGTGCGATCACTCTCTTTCTTATTTTTTTATTTATGTCGAAGGTTTGGGTAATAATATATTTAAAAATAATTTAAAAACCGTCTTTATTATGTTTATTCTTTTGTTTTATACTTTTGAATACGGGGATTGTAATATTGTGATTAATATGTAGGTTATACATTCTTTAATCCTGTTGTTGAACTTTGAAACAGTTGAGAACCACCGACTTGAACCATTGCATAAGCTCCCCTTACCAGAGAACCACCGACTTGAACCATTGCATACGCTCCCCTTACCAGAGAACCACCGAGTTAAAGCCCCTGTTCTCGTGCGATTTTTTGATGTCAAGATAACTCTCGCATTTATTCAATTAATTAAACGTGCACAAGAAAATGCGCATTTTCTAGTGGTTGAAATGATTAGTCAGTGCGTCCGTCGGTGCAGCGACCGACTGATGCGGCCCATGACACGACTGTCGCCGTCTGTAGCTAGCGGCCATACAGCGGCTCATCTGTCATACGGCATTCCTGTCCAACAATAACTTGCTTCAGATGTAGTAGTTGGGGGGGGGGGGTGTCGGCAGAGATGAAGATGACAGTTTTGTTTTTCAATTATTTGTGGTCTACTGTTTTACAATTATTGATATTGGTGGTCTACTGTTTTACAAATGGCATGACGAAATGAAGTAGCAGTTGATAATCTGGTATGTCATTATTAGGTCTACTAAGTAGCCGCGACTTGATTGGTCGCCTGGTGGTGTAGCCAAACTGTGACAAAGTCGCCTGGTGGTGTAGCCAAACTGTGACAAGGTCGCCTGGTGGTGTAGCCAAACTGTGACAAAGTCGCCTGGTGGTGTAGCCAAACTGTGACAAAGTCGCCTGGTGGTGTAGCCAAACTGTGACAAAGTCGCCTGGTGGTGTAGCCAAACTGTGACAAAGTCGCCTGGTGGTGTAGCCAAACTGTGACAAAGTCGCCTGGTGGTGTAGCCAAACTGTGACAAAGTCGCCTGGTGGTGTAGCCAAACTGTGACAAAGTCGCCTGGTGGTGTAGCCAAACTGTGACAAAGTCGCCTGGTGGTGTAGCCAAACTGTGACAAAGTCGCCTGGTGGTGTAGCCAAACTGTGACAAAGTCGCAATCTTTAGACAAGAGATAATGTGTTGTCAGATAATTCAAGCCAATGGATGCCACTGACACTGTGTTCATCTACAGGCGTGTTTACTAGGATGAAGAAATAAAAACATGGATGTATAAATTGATTCGTAAAAGATCGTCCTCGCAAAATTGCCAAAATTCGCAGAAAACGACAGGTATACGATGTTATTTCCGACCAATCCATCACTAGATTTGGTTGAAGTGAGCGCCAATCATACGGGTCGCCAGGTGCCCTCAGGCAGCCATTCATCAAGTGTTGGTCGTTACCTGATCACGGTCGTCGGGTCCTGGCCTCATGCCTGCTGGACGTGACGTCATTGCAGACGTGAAGCAGCAGTACGACACTGACCGTCCAGCTACATACCACACAAGGTCAAGGCGACCACAATGGGTCAAGGTAAGTGTGACGTCAAAAATATTTAAACGAAACTGTGAGAGACGTTAGCAGGGGGTGGTGGGGGCTAGAACCCCCCCCCCCCCGCCCCCCACACAAACACACACCGTCCACTAGACCACCAAAATGAGAGTAGTCTCACACTAACGTATCTCTTAACACCACATTTTACTGTAGAAATATCACAGTCATAATCACGTCATGTGTTCCCGTCACTTCACATGTAGCGCTGCAAATAGACCATAGTGGTTTCAATTGTTCCCACAAGTTTTATTGCTTTTTTTCTGTTTTTGTGCTGCTATGTGTGGACTAAAATTATGGACGGGTGGCCGGTGTGTTTGTTATGGCCCTGTACAAGAAACGTTTTATGATAGAGTGGATAGACTTTCCAGCAGCAGTTGTCAAATGGTGATAAGACGAGTCACTAGCACGATGTGGGGGGTGGGGGGGGGATATACATAGGACCAGCAGCAGTTGTCAAATGGTGATAAGACGAGTCACTAGCACGATGTGGGGGGGGGGGGATATACATAGGACCAGCAGCAGTTGTCAAATGGTGATAAGACGAGTCACTAGCACGATGTGGGGGGGGGGGATATACATAGGACCAGCAGCAGTTGTCAAATGGTGATAAGACGAGTCACTAGCACGATGTGGGGGGGGGGGGGGGGATATACATAGGACCAGCAGTAGTTGTCAAATGGTGATAAGACGAGTCACTAGTACGATGTGGGGGGGGGGGATATACATAGGAGCAGCAGCAGTTGTCAAATGGTGATAAGACGAGTCACTAGCACGATGTGGGGGGGGGGGGGGGGATATACATAGGAGCAGCAGCAGTTGTCAAATGGTGATAAGACGAGTCACTAGCACGATGTGGGGGGGGGGGATATACATAGGACCAGCAGCAGTTGTCAAATGGTGATAAGACGAGTCACTAGCACGATGTGGGGGGGGGGGGGGGATATACATAGGACCAGCAGTAGTTGTCAAATGGTGATAAGACGAGTCACTAGTACGATGTGGGGGGGGGGATATACATAGGAGCAGCAGCAGTTGTCAAATGGTGATAAGACGAGTCACTAGCACGATGTGGGGGGGGGGGGGGGATATACATAGGAGCAGCAGCAGTTGTCAAATGGTGATAAGACGAGTCACTAGCACGATGTGGGGGGGGGATATACATAGGAGCAGCAGCAGTTGTCAAATGGTGATAAGACGAGTCACTAGCACGATGTGGGGGGGGGGGGATATACATAGGACCAGCCATGGCCTTATGGAAATCTTCCTGTGCACAAAACTTTCTACTGGTGTCTGACGATAGCTGCAGACTCTGGACACACAGGTGAGTCTCATAGTGAAAACTTTTTCTTTCATACAGATTCTAACCCCCCCCCCCTGCCCTGGACAAAAGTTTATTTATCTGCAGTTGGCCTGGATGCGGAAAATAAATAAACTGAACCAACATGGAATTTTGAGAAATGGGGATAAATAATTAGAATGGTGCACAAAAACTTATTTATCTTGGGGTGTTTATTTTGAAGTAGGGGAAGTAACTATGTTATTAAAATTGGGAGGAGTTTTAAAATTTGTTTGAATGAAACAAGAAGGTTCAATAGTAAATAATACAGTCACACCTATACAAGCAATACACATTTTTTTCTTGTTAATGAATCGTAATTATAAACATTTCAAATTTTATTATTTCAAAGTATGAGGGTGGAATGAATGGTTTAAGCAATAAAGAACACATGAAATATTTCCTGAGTAGCTCATTTAACACAACAATAGATGAACCAGATCTAGTTCAGTCTCTGACTGTCTATCAGATGGCCCTGTCTGACTGTCTATCAGATGGCCCTGTCTGACTGTCTATCAGATGGCCCTGTCTGACTGTCTATCAGATGGCCCTGTCTGACTGTCTATCAGATGGCCCTGTCTGACTGTCTATCAGATGGCCCTGTCTGACTGTCTATCAGATGGCCCTGTCTGACTGTCTATCAGATGGCCCTGTCTGACTGTCTATCAGATGGCCCTGTCTGACTGTCTATCAGATGGCCCTGTCTGACTGTCTATCAGATGGCCCTGTCTGACTGTCTATCAGATGGCCCTGTCAGACTGTCTATCAGATGGCCCTGTCAGCAGCCAATGTGAAGGACATGAACAGCACTGACCCAGCTGATCCCGTCAAAAAACTTCTCCAGCACGGCCAGCTTGACCCCATGGTGCTGGTCCAAGGTCAGCCGTGAGACAACCCCCCCCTCCCTGAGAGGCAGCGAGCAGACAGGTCTCAGGTTTCTGGCCAGGGATTTGTGGCTCAGTGAGTCCAGATAACTCACCATGATGTAACCTGCAAACATTCAAACACAAGGTCAAGGTCACATTAAGTAGACCAACAGAAACATACATTTTAAAATACCCTTTATGCTCAACTTTTAAACGCACTGAAAGTAAATCAAAACAAACTTTCTCTCTTTAAGGTAAACAGAAGTGGAGGAGCTGATGAAAAGGTTTTTTACCAAAATCTGAGATGACGGCAAACAAGTGACCTAGAAGGACAAAATCCTTGACATTGAAAGCCAACCATCCAAGCTTGTCATGGCGGTCAGCTTCATCTTCCAGAGACAGCTGCTCCCAGCATGGTACACACATACAACCATCTTGTGAGACCACCTGGCCTGTCTCTACACTACCATCATCTGTAAACACACAAACATTATCTGTAAACACACAACCATTAGGTGTAAACACACAACCATTATCTGTAAACACACAACCATTATCTGTAAACACACAACCATTAGGTGTAAACACACTAACATTATCTGTAAACACACAACCATTAGGTGTAAGTAAACACACAACCACCATCTGTAACATACAACTATGAAAACACACAAACACCATCTATAACATACAACAAAACACACAACCACCATCTGTAACATACAACTATGAAAACACACAACCACCATCTATAACATACAACAAAACACACAACCACCATCTGTAACATACAACTAACAAAACACACAACCACCATCTCTAACATACAACTATGAAAAAACACAACCACCATCTGTAACATACAACTAACAAAACACACAACCACCATCTAAAACATACAACTATGAAAACACACAACCACCATCTGTAACATACAACTATGAAAACACACAACCACCATCTGTAACATACAACTATGAAAACACACAACCACCATCTAAAACATACAAGCCATATCTGTAAACTCAGCCATCTAAGATGCACCTACCAAAGAGTATAATGATCAAATCAGCAACCATCTTTATTTTGACAGGTGTCTTGTGTAGCTCCTGCTGGTATACAGGTGCTTCAGCTGATGCTTTATGGGGAAACAAACACAACATCTTGTTGCTACATACAGCTGCAACCTGCACAACAAAACTAAATAGTGGATTGTCGTCTATCAATAAAACTAGTTACTTGGTCTCCCCTGAGAGAGCATTTTAAAACAGTTTGTTCCCCTGAATTGTATTTCATTAGGGATAATATTGTAACATGGGCAGTTTTAAATGAAATCAGAGTCAGAATGAATACATGACATTACCCTTTGCTGATTAAAAGCCAGAGATAAAAGACCCTTTAGACTTTTCTCTAGCCTAACACACTTGACAGGGGTGAAACCAGTTCCAGAGTAGGTGTAGAAATTGAGTTCAGCACAGAGAACATCTTGACGGTAGATGATGCACAAGCCTGTCCAGCAGCTGCTCCAATAAAGGATATGTTACCCCAGTTGTCAAACTTCTTAAGCCAGGATCATAAAGGACTTTACTACAACCTCAATAAAGGATATGTTACCCCAGTTGTCAAACTTCTTAAGCCAGGATCATAAAGGACTTTGCTACAACCTCAATAAAGGATATGTTACCCCAGTTGTCAAACTTCTTAAGCCAGGATCATAAAGGACTTTGCTACAACCTCAATAAAGGATATGTTACCCCAGTTGTCAAACTTCTTAAGCCAGGATCATAAAGGACTTTACTACAACCTCAATAAAGGATATGTTACCCCAGTTGTCAAATTTCTTAAACCAGGATCATAAAGGACTTTGCTACAACCTCAATAAAGGATATGTTACCCTAGTTGTCAAACTTCTTAAACCAGGATCATAAAGGACTTTACTACAACCTCATTAAAGATTATGTTACCCCAGTTGTCAAACTTCTTAAGCCAGGATCATAAAGGACTTTGCTACAACCTCAATAAAGGATATGTTACCCCAGTTGTCAAATTTCTTAAGCCAGGATCATAAAGGACTTTACTACAACCTCAATAAAGGATATGTTACCCCAGTTGTCAAACTTCTTAAGCCAGGATCATAAAGGACTTAACTACAACCTCAATAAAGGATATGTTACCCCAGTTGTCAAACTTCTTAAGCCAGGATCATAAAGGACTTTACTACAACCTCATTAAAGGATATGTTACCCCAGTTGTCAAACTTCTTAAGCCAGGATCATAAAGGACTACTACAACCTCATTAAAGGATATGTTACCCCAGTTGTCAAACTTCTTAAGCCAGGATCATAAAGGACTTTGCTACAACCTCAATAAAGGATATGTTACCCCAGTTGTCAAATTTCTTAAGCCAGGATCATAAAGGACTACTACAACCTCATTAAAGGATATGTTACCCCAGTTGTCAAACTTCTTAAGCCAGGATCATAAAGGACTTTGCTACAACCTCAATAAAGGATATGTTACCCCAGTTGTCAAATTTCTTAAGCCAGGATCATAAAGGACTTTACTACAACCTATTTTAACTTATGGCAAGATGAGAGAAATCTGCCACTAAATCCCTATGTCTAATGTTTCAATTTGTTAAATTAAAACAGTACCTTATGTATGTTCCCTTTAAATAGGTGTGATTCCATCTTCTGTAAATTTGTTCTAATTTGGCAATAGTACTATCTTCATTGTCTGAAAATTGTTTTATGTTTGAGTAATTAATTACTTCTACAACACACATTTTCATTGCTCTACAGCCTACATAATACATTGTCATTAATCTACAGTTTACATAGTACATTGTCATTAACCTATGGCTTACATAGTACATTTTCATTAATCTACGGCCTACAAAATAAAAAGTCATTGTTCTGCAACCTACATAATGTCATTCTTGTACAACCTACATAATATGTCATTATTGTCACAACCTACGTAATGTCATTCTTGTACAACCTACATAATATGTCATTATTGTCACAACCTACGTAATGTCATTCTTGTACAACCTACATAATATGTCATTATTGTCACAACCTACGTAATGTCATTCTTGTACAACCTACATAATATGTCATTATTGTCACAACCTACATAATGTCATTCTTGTACAACCTACATAATATGTCATTATTGTCACAACCTACATAATGTCATTCTTGTACAACCTACATAATATGTCATTATTGTCACAACCTACGTAATGTCATTCTTGTACAACCTACATAATATAATGTGACTTGAGTCTCATGTTTGTTCTGACTTAAAACTTTCCCTACTGACTTGACTGACCACGCTGTGTGAAGTGAAAGGGCTAAAATTACACATGTTGGTGCAGCTCTTTCTGTCTGATACCCCATCTTTATTTATTGTGCTTCCCACAGTTTGCCTTAATACATCCAAATCTTGGTTTAAATGAAACAAAATGTAAAAAAAAATGTGTTTGACCAGTTGTTGTGTGACTCACCAATGTTGGTTAGAGATACAGTGCCACAATCTGTCCTGACTAGGATGACATGAGACTGGGCGTGGCTGGTACAATCATGCTCACTTATCAATGTGCCAGCAAGTCCAATCAGATTCACTAAGTTGGGGGAGGCCAACAGAAATAAATATCCATCTGTGAAAAATAAATTTAAAGACACTCAAGTCAAATCATTGAAAAATAATGAAGGTTTTTATTGGGTTATATAAAAATGGAGTGGGTGTAAATGTATATTCACACTTTCACATTTATAAATTGAGAGAAATATCTCTATTAACTACTGAACAGTTTGTTTTTGTGTCTGAACCATCTCTTTAAAATGTAACTACTGCTAAAATAATGAAATTTTCAAGGTCATCCAGTGAACCATCAACATACTGAGGTCATCCAGTGAACCATCAACATACTGAGGTCATCCAGTGAACCATCAACATACTGATGTCATCCAGTGAACCATCAACATACTGAGGTCATCCAGTCAACCATCAACATACTGAGGTCATCCAGTGAACCATCAACATACTGAGGTCATCCAGTGAACCATCAACATACTGAGGTCATCCAGTGAACCATCAACATACTGAGGTCATCCAGTGAACCATCAACATACTGAGGTCATCCAGTGAACCATCAACATACTGATGTCATCCAGTGAACCATCAACATACTGAGGTCATCCAGTCAACCATCAACATACTGAGGTCATCCAGTGAACCATCAACATACTGATGTCATCCAGTCAACCATCAACATACTGATGTCATCCAGTCAACCATCAACATACTGAGGTCATCCAGTCAACCATCAACATACTGAGGTCATCCAGTGAACCATCAACATACTGAGGTCATCCAGTGAACCATCAACATACTGAGGTCATCCAGTGAACCATCAACATACTGAGGTCATCCAGTGAACCATCAACACACTGAGGTCATCCAGTCAACATACTGAGGTCATCCAGTCAACATACTGAGGTCATCCAGTGAACCATCAACATACTGAGATCATCCAGTGAACCATCAACATACTGAGGTCATCCAGTGAACCATCAACATACTGATGTCATCCAGTGAACCATCAACATACTGAGGTCATCCAGTGAACCATCAACATACTGAGGTCATCCAGTGAACCATCAACATACTGAGGTCATCCAGTGAACCATCAACATACTGAGGTCATCCAGTGAACCATCAACATACTGAGGTCATCCAGTCAACCATCAACATACTGAGGTCATCCAGTCAACCATCAACATACTGAGGTCATCCAGTGAACCATCAACATACTGAGGTCATCCAGTCAACCATCCACATACCCTGGCTACCATCCAACAAGATCTGATGGTTGTGCCCTGAACTTACAACAAAACTTGAGATCATGCACCAGCTGGACCTTTTGATGGTACACGTCTTTCCTTGCCACACAAGGCCTGCCTTCAAGCAGCAGTGACGTGCGGTGGAGCTGGATGTACAAGGTCTTCCATAGAGCTGGGTCATTGGGGTCACCTGAGTACAACCATGGCGCCACTGACTCCACACAAGCAAGTGTGTAATCTTCAAACACAAACCTTTGTCATAAATAGAACATTTTTAACCTCAATGTTCATAACAGCAAAAAGCTGTTACATTTTTTTTAAATTTTAGTATATTAACATAGACCAAAACATTTTTTTGTAAATAAAAAACAAATAATAAATTATAGTATAGGCCTATATGATTCTAAACAAAAGTTTTAGGAAAAGTAATTTTTAGGAGGCAAAGAAAAAAAATCATTTTATAATCGCAACTTTCTAAAAGCTGATTTAAATGATTACCTGCGCCATATAGTTGGTTTGGCTCTGTTATGAAGCTCATTTGCAATATCTAAATGCTGCCTACATGTTCTGCTGAAGTTAACGAAAGCTTTCCCTCCAACATTCAACAATATCAACTCTATGACCTCTACAGGGAGTTCCATCCTTTCAGCATTGTGCTTCAATCTATTGGATATTGTTTTACTTCAAATTCTGCTGAAAATATCTGTTACTTAAATATATGTAAGTAACCTATCATTATAAGTTTTTAATATTAAAAAAATGTAGGTAGTGAATTTATTTTAACCCATATTCTGCTAGGGTCCCACTTTTGGAATGCTTGTAAAAATATTGCGAGAATTTATTTAACTATTTAAAACACAACTTAAATCTATGTTTCATTGTATTTGGAAATGGTTAGACTTGCATTTGTATGTTATGAGAGAAATTTTAATGAAGAAAAATGTATAGCTGCATTTTGTTAGAATTGTCAGAAGATGAGGGTAACCTCTAGGACTGGACTAGATTGTCTTTTGCAGAATTACTGAGGGCATCAGAGCAGCGGACCAGGCAAGACATTTGGAAAGAGGTAACCTTGGTGCCCCATCGTAAATCTGACTGCGTTATGGGACAGGAGGGTAGCATAGCTGCTGGATATAATGTAGTCATCTAAACTCAAGTTCTGATAGCTTTTGATACACTGGGGTTCACAAGATTGGTTGTTGATTTACACTAAAAATTAAATAAGAATTCACATCAACTTTACCCATGGAAATTAAAGTAAAAAGGACAGGCAAATTTTAGAAAAACTTCTTTGTAGGTAATGATATCAACTGGTCACTAGGGTTAGGGTTAGCAGAGGCTGCCCATTGTCTAAACACAAATTGCTGATGTGGCTAATGTGAGTATCCTCAAGACTAAATCTCAAATTAGTAAATGAACTGTAAACATACGCATGTTTTATTGGCTCCGGGGAGTATAATTAGATGTACCGGTCACAACTTTCATTAACTATTTAATTTACTACTAGCTGTCTAGTAGTAGATCTATTTATAGTTTAATACTATCAATTATGGTAATCTATCATTTTAGGCGCATAAAATTGGCAGAAGCTACTAATGTGAAAAAAAAAGTTGCCTCATTGTTAAGGCTTTAATAGACATATATTCAATATTTTTTATATTGTGATATATTTGTGTCAAATATTATAGATAACTGAATAATAAACCGAAATCAATGGCAAAGACATCAATATAAGCCAGAAATTAACTTTAAACAGCAGTGTTTGCGAGCAAGATTTGCTATTTAGAGTATTTAGACAGCATCCATCTATAAATCTATAAATGGACACCAGCGAGTTGACAAGATTCCTTCCGTAATGTTGTTGACATGGAATAAAAATGTGCTTTTTTAGATTTAGGACCATAAAAATAATAAATGATAAAATTTTATTAAAAACTTAAGCCTAAAATTAATTCAGAAATTTAATATTTTTAGAATCAATGCTATACAAGTTGCAGATCCAGAGAACTTGAAAATAATTTGTTGAGTTTAAGGCTACATTTCTATTTATTTTCATCAAGCCTAAGTTATAACCCAATGTTTCACTTTCGTAAGACAAACATTGATTAGCTGTAAAGGAACTCCGTGATCGATTTCTGACAGCCCCACTTCATAGTTATTTTGTTTACAAAACTTTGCAGATCAAGTTTTTAAATAACTATGCAAATTTAAACACCATGACCTATTTTTTCTATTTTTAGCTTACAATGTGTACAATAAAATTTATGGCGGCCATTGTTTATGTCGCCATTACACGTGAAAACCAAATTGTTTTTGCTTTTTTTTTTATTTTTATTTAGTTACCGAAAATATTAAAAACATAAAATACATCCAATCTTTAGTAAAGTCCGAAAAAAACCAGACAGACAGGATTTTATAACCATTTTAATTGTAACTACGCCGTGCAAGATTTTTAAATTAATTTATGCACCTCTCAAATACCTTTGAGACTTTTCTCGCTGGTGTCCATTAGAGTTATTTATTATTGAAAAGTTTTATTTTTTTATTAAAATGTAATACTACAATAGTTTAAAAACAGGTACAAGAATGAAACTTTGAAATATGTTTGTAACTTTCAAAACATCATAAATCCTCCTAAAAATGTGAAATAATTACTAAAATTAAAATACTAGATCTATCATAATTTTAACGAGTCTCCTTTTTTTTTTCACACTAGTCACTAGCTCTAGATCTAGATTTTAGATCTCTAGATATCTAGATCTAAAATCTAGATTCTAGATCTACCCTTTTTTTAGTCTCCGCCAGAGATCTAGATCTAGATCTAGATCTAGAATCTAGATTCTAGATTAGATCTGGAGTTAGAGTCTAGCTAGACTCTAGACAATTACTAAAATTAAAATGATAGATTAGAATTAGATCTAGAATATATAGATCTAGATATCTAGATATCTTTGACATGAATCTTACATCTCCTAGATTTAGAATTTAGATCTACGAACGAAGTCTAGATTCTACATCATATTAACAACATTGTTGATGTAGATCTAAGACTAAATCTTGTATTTGTAGTGTATGGCGTAAGTCTTAGCTTAGCAGACTATGAAATTTTTATTTCGCTTTGCCAGATAAAATGTAGAAAGAATTGACCATTTTAAAAGACATCATCATGATTGTCATGAATAAACATAGGCCCACATACTTTTTTTTCCATTTTATTTAGGCCTAATGTTTTATGCGCCAGCTGTGGTCGTCTATATCATCCACGTCACACTCCAGTGGGGTGTGAAGAGGAAGGTGGTGTTACCTCATCACGACGATTGATGAGAAGAGATGGATCCAAAAGTGTGACATTTTTAAAATTAATATTAAAACATGGATTGTAGCTATTTTCGGGATTTTCGCGTTATTAACATATGGTTACCAGTCAAGGGGGATAAATAATAAGTTTTAATTTATTGGGTTGCTGCCCCTGTGGGACAGCAACTGTTGATGTCCATTTTTTGCATGCTCTTCGGTGAGCGATTTTTACTTGTGTTCAATGTCATGTGACATGGGATTATGGGTAGTTCGTGCCTGTGGCCGTGTCAGTCAGACCCATGGCTGCTGTGGACACGGAGGGTGACCTTGCCTATAGGCAGATCATGTAGACTGTAGACCTTATGAAGTCTGTTTTCTACAGTTTTTCTACTCTGTCTTCTACTGTTCTACATCGCCGTGTATGGCTTGATGTTAATGTCAATAAAGCCAGTATTTGACAACAACAGCGTCCCTAAACTGCCTGCCCCTCCCCCCCCCCCCCCGCACTGTAGTCCCGCCCCTGCGTCATCCCATTATGTGCTATATCTCAGGGTCAGCCCTTTTAAACACAACACCTCAGTGGGTAATAAGCATCCCCATTGAGTGAGTGTTACATTATAAAAGACTGATTTTGTAAATTGAAAATGAAATAGATCAAGAAATTGATTAATTAATATATTTAATGTTAACCGAGCTCGGTAATTTTTAGAAATAAATAAAATATATCATGATATATGTTAACAAACAAAAGATGCAATATCGAGGAATAATGGGCTGTTTGGCGTAATGGGGTGGGGGTTGGGGGAGTCTAGCTTTTTGTGACGATGGGGAGATTAAAAAATCGTTTTAAAAAGCGTGGCGTAATTTTTGGATGACCCCCCCCCCCTCTTATTTACTTTTATTATGATTTTCAAATTTTAGATAGAATTTTTCCCTATACGTAATCATCGCTGTTGGAATTGTTACACTTTAAATATCTATATTACCCCCCCCCCCCCCCCCGCTTTATTGCAATTAACTAGGCCCAATATTTTCTTAATTTGTATATTCTCGTTTTCAGAGTATAGGTTAAGTGTTGAAATGGTCCTGAATAATTTACACATATAAGACAGTTTTCGCCACCTGACATCTCCCTACATATATACATCTTTTGTAAAACAATAATACCTATTCCGAAAGGTTTAAAGTTTATTCAACAATATGTCAAAAAATAATAAATTACACCAAACATTGACGTGAATATATGGATGTGAGTTATGTACAGAGTAAGAATGGGTGATAAAATGACTACGTCATTAAAGAGTTAATGTTGCCCTGAATGTCACGTGAAGCTAGAACTTGGCTGGTTAAAGATCTGTTTGTTTTCTGGTAGCCAGGTACTGCTTGATGCCATCAACCTCAGCCACGGTTGCCCGGAGGGCTTTCAGTGCGGGATAGTTGTCCAACAGCTGGGGGTTGGTCTGTACAACATTTTGTATTCCCTCGAATATGATAATATCTGCAAGACTTAGCTGTAAAAACACAGATAGGATAGTTTAAAATATCTGCCAGACTTAGCTGTAAAAACACAGATAGGGTAGTTTAAAATATATGCAAGACTTAGCTGGGAAAACACAGATAGGATAGTTGATAATATCTGCAAGACTTAGAATAGATGGAAAAAAACACAGGTTGGCTTGTTGAAACTAGTGTGTATTATAAAGTGGGACTACTGTGTAGTAATAAAAGACTTCTGTGTTCAAACAGTTTACCTTTGTTCCAACAGTAAAGTTTGTTTTGTTCTTTTCTTGGTTGTTGAGGAGGATTTTGTTGAAGTAATTCAAAAATCTCGGGTAAACATTTTTGTTCATGTTATCCACTAGTTCATTCTGTCAATATTTTAAAATGTTCAATTCGGCTAAACGTTTCCTTGGCATTATAGAGTATCAATTTTTTTAAAAAAATGCCCTTTTTAAAACGCTCTGCTTTAGTTACCTCCCTTAAAAGATTGTAGCCCCGCTAGTTACCTCCCTTAAAAGACCGTAGCCTTCACCCTTACCTTTTTTTCGGGATCTTTAACCTGGAAGACCTTGACCTCCTCAACGATCAAATCTTCCCTCAACAAGTGCAACTGATTAATTTCTAAGGCCTCCAAATTGTTTGATCCGAACAAACCTGAAATAAAGATTCACCACATACAAATGTGTGCCTAGTTATGTGACCACACTTACAAATAACATTTTATGTTTAAATAGTAAGGATTTGGGTGTGAAAATATAACTAGTAACAAGATAATTTTTAAAGATAATTTAAAAAAAAAAACTTTTAATAATAAATTTTCATATTAGTGTGTGTGTGTGTGAGTATGTGCGTTTGTGTGTGTAAACAAGATAACTTCAGTACCGTTAAGCTAGATTGATGAAATTTCTTATATAAGTATTATATCAAATATGTAGTACTGTATCAACTTTTCAGTGATTTCCGATAATCGGAAGTGGATTTTTTTCTACTTTCAATTTTACAAAAGCAATTCAAGTTCCAAGTTTAAAAGAAATAGGTCTGTTAGAAGTGGTCTAAATTTTGCTGGCAAGTTTTGATCCATAACGGACGAAGCACGACAAAAAGCACGAAGTAGAAGTTAAATAAAAGCTTGTAAAAACTAAGTTAATTAAACATAATAAAATACATTTATTAGTTGAAAAGGTTTTAATTTCCGTTTATATTTTAATAAGAGATTTTTAAAAAGCGACGTACCATTTTCCATAGCTAGATAGGTTGCTATGGCGATCCCTTGCGCGTATGTTTGACCGTCAACTTCAAGAACTGGGAGGCTACCGAAGGGGGTTGCTGCAAAAGGTCAAAGTTCAAGCATGTATTCATTTAGTCAAAGTTATTTTCTCTACAGCATTGACACACAACAAAACTTGACATCCGCCAGGTTTAGACTGTATATTTCCGTGTACCTAGGGTTAGATTAAATATTTCCGGGTACCTAGGGTTAGATTAAATATTTCCGGGTACCTAGGGTTAAATTAAATATTTCCGGGTACCTAGGGTTAGATTAAATATTTCCGTGTACCTAGGGTTAGATTAAATATTTCCGGGTATCTAGGGTTAGATTAAATATTTCCGGGTACCTAGGGTTAGATTAAATATTTCCGTGTACCTAGGGTTAAATGTTTCCCTGTACCTAACGCCCGAGGATTCTACCACCTACAAGCCAGCCAGGGAAGTAGATCTTATAAAAACCATTCAGTGTGGTATGATTCCGGGTACGTAGGTTTAGACTGTGTTTCCGTGTACCTAGGTTTAGGTTGTATGTTTCCGTGTACCTCGGTTTAGGTTGTATGTTTCCGTGTACCTAGGTTTAGACTGTATGTTTCCGGGTACTTAGGGTTAGGCTCTATGTTTCCGTGTACCTAGGGTTAGATTAAATGTTTCCGTGTACCTAGGGTTAGATTAAATGTTTCCGTTTACCTAGGATTAGATTAAATGTTTCCGTGTACCTAGGGTTAGATTAAATGTTTCCGTGTACCTAGGGTAAGATTAAATATTTCCGTGTACCTAGGGTTAGATTAAATGTTTCCGTGTACCTAACGGCGGAGGATTTTACCACCTACCAGCCAAGGAAGTGAATCTTATAAAAACCATTCAGTGTGGTGGTTTTAAAATTAGCTTTGTCGTTGTTATCTCCCCTGTACAGACACAAACCGGTAGTGTAGCCACTTCCGGCTCCGTTTTCCTGAGAGCTCTTGTGTTGTAGTTCATGTTTAGTGGTCGGTGTTTTGTTTAGTTTAGTGTTTGAGGTTTTGTTTAGTTTACTGTTTGAGGTTTTGTTTAGTTTACTGTTTGAGGTTTTGTTTAGTTTACTGTTTGAGGTTTTGTTTAGTTTACTGTTAGAGGTTTTGTTTAGTGGTCGATGTTTTTTGTTTAGTTTACTGGTTTTGTTCAGTTTACTGTTTGAGGTTTTGTTTAGTTTACTGTTTGAGGTTTTGTTTAGTTTACTGTTTGAGGTTTTGTTTAGTGGTCGATGTTTTGTTTAGTTTACTGGGTTTGTTCAGTTTACTGTTTGAGGTTTTGTTTACAGTTTGAGGTTTTGTTTAGTTTACTGTTTGAGGTTGTGTTTAGTTTACTGTTTGAGGTTTTGTTTAGTTTACAGTTTGAGGTTTTGTTTAGTTTACTGTTTGAGGTTGTGTTTAGTTTACTGTTTGAGGTTGTGTTTAGTTTACTGTTTGAGGTTGTGTTTAGTTTACTGTTTGAGGTTGTGTTTAGTTTACTGTTTGAGGTTTTGTTTAGTTTACTGTTTGAGGTTTTGTTTAGTTTACTGTTTGAGGTTTTGTTTAGTTTACTGTTTGAGGTTTTGTTTAGTTTAATGTTTGAGGTTTTGTTTAGTTTACTGTTTGAGGTTTTGTTTAGTTTACTGTTTGAGGTTTTGTTTAGTTTACCGAGCACTTGTTCAATAAAATATGTTTATCTGCATCAGATATTGAAAACTTTAAGGACATCAGGACAGCAACTCGCGGACATCAGGACAGCAACTCGCGAACATCAGGACAGCAACTCGCGAACATCAGGACAGCAACTCGCGAACATCAGGACAGCAACTCGCGGACAACAGGACAGCAACTCGCGGACATCAGGACAGCAACTCGCGGACATCAGGACAGCCACTCGTGTGAGACTGAGGGGCCGGACATCGAGGCTCTCTCAGATTCTCACAACGAGAGTATTTCATCTTTTTGTTTCACTGACTTGGAGTTGTTGACTTATCAGAAGTCACACGTAAAACTTAAGTCAAATTTCCCACACATCCTCTCACACCCACCCACACACCCCTCCACAGCCACTTACTCGGCTTGACTTTCGACCATTCGCTGAAGGGTATCCTGTTGTCCTCAAACTTTTTCTTGGCGGCGTGTAACACGAGTCGGCTGGTCTCAGCTCGACTCCTCAGGTCAAAGTACGACAGTTTCAAGGTCATGGCGGACAGGAAGGTCACGTCTGTTGACAAAATGTGCATTTATTAATAAACTCCTTTTTTGGGAATATGTAAAAAAGTTGAACGGAACATCAATGATATGGACAATTTGTTATCAGCGAAAGTTTTTTTAATGACGTCACAACTACTTCAGATGCGTTTATCTACACACCATTTATACATCCAACTAAAACATATATCAATAACTGGACTCTCTACCCAGCCAACTATCAAACTAGACCTTACTCTCTACCCAGCCAACTGACCAACATTAAAAAACCAACTTACGAGCTGCTAGATGATGATGATGTTGTTCCAATACCGAGACGGCGAGTGAGTGGGGAGACAAGCCGTGCCCGCCTTTTTATGAGAGGACACCGGGTTTTTTTTTTTTTTAAATTTGCTGCGTCATGTCATGCTGCGTCATCCAGCAAAACGGAACTGCCGGGTTGACCGACATCCGGGTTACTTAGTGAGAGGTCGAGTCGAAACAAGGACTCCACGATGGCGGATATATTTTAACCCCCCCCCCCCCTCACCACCCATATAGACCACGATAACGGATACATTTTACCATTTTACACCCCCCCCCCCCCACACACACACATTATTCATACCCACGCATCAAGCATTAAAAGGAAAACACTAAACAAAATACTTTTTCCCAAATGGGCGGAGCTAAGATATGTGCGTGCTCAGCTAGTGACGTGTGCAGACCTTATCAGAAAAAAAAGGGCTCTGGTAACAGTGCCAGAGGCGTAGCTGCCATTCCGGCGCCCGATGGCGAATTATATATTTTACCACCCCCCTATAGTTATTCATGCTTGTGAACCCCCCCCCCCCTTCCCGGTAAATTGGTGGCGCTTTTTACCTGTCACTATACCGTAAACCTTTTTTTTTGTGCCACGCATTGTAGCCGTTTATTTTCTGAACTTGGACTTTGTAAAATTCGAAACCCAGATTAAAATGAGCTTTTTCATTTAGTTCCACCCATTTTGGCGCCCCTTTAGTATGGGCGCCCGAGGTGGCCGCCCTACCCGCCCTCCCCTAGCTACGCCTCCGAACAGTTCCAGACTAGATGTTACCCTTCTGGCATTCAGGGCTAGGCTCACTGTGGTCCGCGGCTGATTATGGTCCGCGGCTGACTGTGGTCCGCGGCTGACTGTGGTCCGCGGCTGATTGTGGTCCGCGGCTGATTGTGGTCCGCGGCTGACTGCGGTCCGCGGCTGATTGTGGTCCGCGGCTGATTGTGGTCCGCGGCTGACTGTGGTCCGCGGCTGACTGTGGTCCGCGGCTGACTGCGGTCCGCGGCTGATTGTGGTCCGCGGCTGATTGTGGTCCGCGGCTGACTGTGGTCCGCGGCTGACTGTGGTCCGCGGCTGATTGTGGTCCGCGGCTGACTGTGGTCCGCGGCTGATTGTGGTCCGCGGCTGACTGTGGTCCGCAAGTGTACAGGCTCAATTCAATATGAAAATATTTTACATAGATCTTCACACACAAAATAAACAGAATGATGTTGCTAAGTAAAATGTACGTAGATGCCACAAACCGACTACGCACTACAAATATGTTACGGTCAAAGCCCGAAGTGCGGCCATAGCACGCATTGGCCGGCCAATGTGCGCATTGGCCGGGACGTACTGGCCTAAGTCTAAAGCGCTTAAACTTAACAACGTATTTCGTACTTTGGCCGGCCAATGCGCAGACTGGCCGGGATGTCCTGGACAATGTCCTATCTAGACTAAGTTGTGATCACGTTTTCATTATTCTTGGTGCGTTTTCATTGAGAGTAACGTATTGTTTAGCTCTTGTTTGTATAGCATTCTATATGCAATGCGACATGGACCAAAAGGGCCGTAAGACCAAGAGACAGACATACCAGATGGCTGCCAAAATATTTCTGAACTAATGAATATGTGGCTTGAACTTAAACTAGTTCACGTAAAACCAAGGCATAGCCAAAGCCAAGGTTCAGTAGAACGTACCAACCAAGATGTTCAAAAATTGATGATTGCAAGGATGCAGACAAACGAATCAGCTCAATGGGCTGAGAGTCCCAAATTCATCAAGGAATCCAACAATCGCCATACGAAGCCTTGTTTGGATGCAAAAGTGGGACTTAGCACTTCAAATCTACCAAGTGAGGCTTTCGATAATTTAGTTACCGAGGAAGATCTTGAGAACATTGAACAAGAAATGGAGGTTGCCATAAATGCAACGACATCCTCAGCTAACACATATGCTGCCGTGGCGGAACGCCCAGACCAGTTGCGTGACAATAATATGGCCAACAGATTATGCGTAGTTTGTGAAAAATGTTGTAGTGCAGCCCATTCTTGTGGATCCTGTGGCAACGATGTTCATGCATTATGCTGAATGACCAATGAACCAGACGAAGGGTACCGAGGGAACATTACTTTCAAGATTAGCTTGCAAACTCAAGGTGCTAAGATGCTAACATAATCAGATACACATTTTAAACAAGCAGACGTGGCAGATAATGTTCGCATCTGTATACCAGAAGTAGACAGGGGTCGCGGTGATCCCCGAAGCGTCATTGCAGTTGTCATGAGAGTCGAGGGCGCTTTCTACAAGCTAAAAACGGAGCGTGGTGTTCTAAAACAACTGTATGCTCGTCCGTTTGGCACTGAGAAAAAATCACTAGGAACCATCGCATCTTCACAATCACTGACCGGCGGCCAAGATACACTCGCTGCAATTGCACAACCAAGTGCACAACAAATCGCTGCAAGTTTTAAAATAACAAGCTACTATGTAATTTTAAATGCCATAAAAGTTCAACTTGTTGTAACAAGTGATAATAATAATTGAGACTATAGTACAATAAAATAATTTGAATATTTCTGTCATTTACTTTAATTAATAATCAATAAAGACTTAATGTCATGATCCTTACGGTATAAAAAAAACCAAATCTGCTCACGATCTTCTAATTCGGACTTTGGCCGGTCTTCCCTAGCCAGATGATTTTCTAATTCGGATATATATATATATATATATATATATATATATATATATATATATATATATATATATATATATATATATATATATATATATAACTTCAGTTAAAGAATACGGCGTCATTTTTTCATCTTATACCCAACTTACACCGCAAACCTGGATACGCCTCTAATTAACTCTAATACCAGCAAATGTTGTATCTATTTGTTGTACCTAGCAATGTTGTATGTATTTGTTGTACCTAGAAATAATGTATCTATTCTTGGAAACCATGGCCAGGTTGTATTGAAGAGTCTCGGGTAGGTCCAGGATATTGGGGAACCAGGAAGAAATGATCGGGTATTCCACACTCCCCTCCCTCCCCCTCCTACACGTCATCGTTCACGGTAGACAGGGAAATTTTTGGGGAAATTCCCGAAACCACTAAATTTGACAGCAGCGGGTATTTTCACCGACATGGTGTTAGACTCAAACTAAAACAGAAGCATTGAGATGAACGTTAAAAATTGTTCACATCGTTGTGAATAAATAAATTTGAAACAATAAAAAAAATATTAAATTTTTCACATCGTTGTGAATAAATAAATATGAAACAAAAAAAAAACTAGCTGTGATAATTTCTATCAGTTTTTACTTTCTCGTAAATACGAAGTATAGAGAAAATTTTGTAATCGTGCAAAAAAAAATAATTAAAAAATCGAGATTTTTACAAATCTCGACGTTTTACACCTCCCTGAGTCGGAAAAACATAATTTGCAACCTTGTCCGTATGTCTCTGTGTGTGTATGAGTGTGTGTGTGTGTGTGTCTGTAAACACGATAACTTGAGTACCTCTACAGCTAGATTGATGAAATTTCATATATATTATATCAAAATCGTAGATCCGTATACACTTTTGAGCGATTTCCGATAACCGGAAGTGGAACTTTTTATACTTTCAATTTTTCGAAAGCCTATAACTTGTGTACAATTTCAGATAGATAAATGAAATTTCATGTCAGTAAAAGATCTAATTCTCTGCATTCTTTCAAACTTTGAGTAATTTCCGTTGACCAGAAGTAGTAATTTACGCTTTTTCCGATTTCCCAAAAAACGCATGTGAATTTATAAAGTACTAATAATATTCCGCACTATTATACACATTTTGCTTGGCGTTCACTAGGTGCGCAATTCTTTTTTTCTACGAGATTCTATTCTATTTTAAAGTTTAAGTAATTAAACATCATGTTTATATCCTGAGTTGCCATCCCCCAGTAGTGTTATATAAGAATATTCGAGAAAAATTAGGGAGATCACTACCGGTTTATTTTATTTTAAATTAGTATCAAATGGTCAGAGGTTGTAAACATTTCTCAGCCACAGTTACGGCAGTCCCCTTTACATAGCAATACTAGGGATGAAAAAGGCCGACATGGTGCAAAGGCCGGGGCGCCACTAGGTGTGGTGGCATGTACGCATGTGGTGACATGTAAGCTCGCGGCCATATTAATGCTGATCCAAGTGTGTAATCTATAATGGAGATTGACATATTTTTTCATTTACATAGAGATTAGGAAATGTATGACCAGAGTTTCTTCCAGGCATCTCTTCGGGGGGGGGGGGGGAGTGTCCCCCCCCCCCCCCGAAAAAATTCTACCGCCCCTCCCCCTCCCCCGAACGAAATGAAATTTATATCATTTATATAGAAAATATATACTTTTAACAGTATCCGCCTCCCGAAGAAAATCTACCGACCCCCGAAAATTTCAAGTGCCCCACCCCCCGAAAAAATTCTACCCCCCCCCCCCCCCCCCGAACGAAATGAAATTTATATCATTTATATAGAAAATATGTACTTTTAACAGTATCCGCCCCCCCCCCCCCCCCGAAGAAAGTCTACCGTGCCACCCCCCCCCCCCCCGAGAAAAAAGTCTGGAAGAAACACTGTGTACAACATGTACACACTTGGACACTATTAGATGTACACATTCTGCCACGTACAGACTTCTACATGTACACACCCACTGGTTGATCAACTCAGTTCGCCATGTTGGGCGGACAGCTCAGTACGTCACTTCCCTTGACGCTTGACCAATCAGCTGCCTTGCTTGAACCGTGTGGCCCAGCCCCTTTGTTTGGTCACTTGCTGACCATTACGTCACACACAATCTGTATCGAATGACCAGCTGGCGACAAGTGGTCAGTGCACCTACCTCACCGTGTGGTCAGTGCACCTACCTCACCGTGTGGTCAGTGCACCTACCTCACCGTGTGGTCAGTGCACCTACCTCACCGTGTGTTACATGTCAGGCCAAGCTGAGTTGATGGGTTGTGAGTGGGGCTAACCCAGGGCCGTGTGAAGTCTCAGCCCTACCCTAGGGCCGTGTCAGCCCTACCCCAGAGCCGTGTCAAGTCTCAGCCCTACCCCAGGGCCGTGTCAACCCTACCCCAGGACCGTGATGATCCTAACGTAGACCCGCGTGTTGCTCTAGGAATGATCCTGGTCCACTAGGAGGATACCATCTACACAGACTGACGTCACGTGCACCGGCTGACGTCACGATGTTTGAAGATTGTAAGTAGAATTACGTCATAGAGTGACTCTAGCAGAGCTAAACGATTGTAGGAAAAAAGTCACACATTGTATCCGCAGGGAATTTGTTGATACTTTTGTTTTCAGAAAGTTCAAATCAACATTCACTCCGAAATGTAATGTAACCATTTTAGTTAAATGTGCGTAGGTTGTGTTTGTAAGGTAAGACACATACAATTATTTAGTCTGAAGTATGTAGGTTTTAATTCAGTTATAGAATAGAATTAAGTAGAATATTCCAACCTACTCAGTTTTTTTTAAAATACCAACTTTGAATCAGTGTGAAATGGGAAGAAGTCACGTGATTTGTTGTCCTCAACTCGTGGCAACAATAGCTCTGACCCTTTTATCGCCCACATTTATCACCCTCATAACATCACAAAGCGGAGGACCCAGCTAAACAACCGACATTGTACCTTGTCGGGTGTTTAGCTGAAGCAAAACGTCAACAACACACAATGTGGGCTGACCAGGCCGACCGATGAAAGGCCTACGGCAAACACACCACACCATGGCGTGCCTAAATATATTTTTATAATTAATTATTATACCGTGTATTCAAATAAATAATTAAATATGTAACTAAATAGGAGGCTGCTGTGTAAAACCATCAGGATTATTACTTATTCAGAAGATAAAAGTAGGATTATTATTATAAACCATAATGACTTCAAAGTTCATGTTAAAGAAAAAAAAACGAAAAAAAAAACCCCTTATATTTATAAATACCCTCAATTTTACAATTTTCAACAAGTAAATCCAAATATTTCTTCGACCAATTTCTGTGACTATTTTTTCTCTCCCGTGTGTTCAACATATAAGTGGGTAACTCTGTGTGCATGTATATGCGTGCTATGTACGTAGAATTGTTATATTTATGTATGTATGTAGGCTATGTATGTGCCTAAAACCTACCCCACCTCATTGCCAGCCCTTGACCGTTCCCCCTCCCCCACTCTCATTTACTTGACCGGACCAGATTGCTGTACACGATATACCAGTGGAATAGCTCGGACCCTCTCATGTAGCCAACCATAAGATTCACAGCCCCCCACCCCTCTGCCCCCACCCCACCCCTTTGTGTGGCACACTCCCAGCTTTCACCGCTACTAGACCGTAGCAAGGTCGGGACGTCATGACGTAACAACCGGCCAAGCTTACGTCAGACTGGCCATCGCGGTACACAGTGCTACACGCACGGAGGGCAGGTGGTGTGGTCAGTGTGTTCATTTCGTGCTGGTCACTTGCTGGACGCTAGCAGCATAGAGCACGAGACAAGGCAGCATACTACAGCATACAGCAGCATACTACAGCATACTACAGCATACAGCAGCAGAAAGCTGAACATCCTATAAAGTAGATGCCCCATAACACCGGATCACATGCAGGTACGACTAGCCTAGATGGTCTCTTTGTTGTTAGTTTCTTGGTGGGCAAGGCTTCGTGTAGGCCTAATTAATATAGAGTCTAGGTCCTCCATAGCCTAACTAAACGTGACTCAGTTATGTTTAGTTACACAGGACTAGTAATTAGTTAATTAAAAATGTTTCAGATAATCGAGTCAATGGTTACTTATTTCAAAAACCAAATGCGAGTTTAAATTCTATCGACCAATAAGAAAAAAGTTCCTGTCGTTATTGCTGCTGTAAATATGTGCAAGAAAGCTGAATGTTATTGGCTAATTAATTTAGATAGGGCCTAACTAAAATCCAATTAGCGCGGGCCATCAGTATCTTAGTATCTTAAAAGGGATAAAACGTACCTGTAAAGTTAACAGTACTAAATAAGATAATAATTAGGCACTAAGTATAAAAATTAATCAGGCGCCTATCATAATTAATAGGATAATCAAGCACCTATAATAAATAATAATCAGGCACCTATCATAATTAATAATCAGGCACCTATAATAAATGATAATTAGGCACCTATCATAATTAATAATCAGGCACCTATAATAAATGATAATCAGGCACCTATCATAATTAATAATCAGGCACCTATAATAAATGATAATTAGGCACCTATCATAATTAATAAACAGGCACAGTATAATTAATGATAATTAGGCACCAAGCATAAATATTATTCAGGCACCAAGCGGAACTAGAAAAAAAGGGCCACCCCGCAATCAAATTTTTAGGCCCCCCCCCCCGCCTATATATATATATATATATATATATATAGGCCTATATATATATATATATATATATATATATATATATATATATATATATATAGGGCATATATATATATATATATATAGGGCATATATATATATATATAGGGCCTATATATATAAATACTCATTGTTGGCCTGTTCGGGTTTTGAATAATTGTTTTTTATTTCAATTATATCAAATTACAACAACTGGTCATGTGTGTAAGTGCATTAGTGCAGGGGTCGGCAACCTTTTGAGGCGGAAATTTAAAATATTTTATTGTTTATTAAGATTATTAGTATTTGTTCAAAGAGCTGGAGAGCCGCATCTTGATATCAAGGGAGCCGCATGCGGCTCGCGAGCCGCAGGTTGCCGACCCCTGCATTAGTGTTTTGAAAATCAGTTTTTATGATCTCTCCTCAAAGCCTCATATCTTCCAGTCGGTCAATAGAATATAAAACATGAACGCTTTGTATAAGTAATGGTTTCTCGTGTTATGTTTATTTTTTTTTTATTTATATTATTAATTTTAAATACATTTCCTTTTTATACAATGTCATTCTTTAGTAAGTTAAAAAAATAATAATTAAGAGAAGTAATTATTGCTTTTTAATTTTTTTTTAGTTTAAATCTATGAAAAGGAGATTATGAGCACCCGTTTTTGACTATTTAAAGAAGGGAAATAAGTCATGGAAGTGGTTTGAACGTTTGCTTATCTTAGATAAGTTTCATTGTAGGAGAAAGAGGACTCGGCTTTCGCGGTGGTTTAAAAACAAAGGGAAAAAGAATATACAAGAGCGTGGGGTGGTGTCTATAGAATAAAGATAATCTAAACGCAGCTACGGTAATCTTTTTAAAAAACAACCATCAAGTCAGAAATGCAAGAACATTTTTTAAAAATTTAACTATTAAAAAAATGTATTATGGTCGGCTTTGGGCCCCTAAATGACGTGCCCCCCCCCCCCATAGCGGGGTCTGGCGGCATTGTAGTTCCGCCCCTGCCTACTTATTTGGTCCAGAATAGACGACCATATCAGCCTAGTTAAACTGTTAAACATTACTGACATGACGTCTGGCTAGGACAGACTGAAAACCTTAGACTATGACGCCTGGCCTGACTAGGACAAACTGAAACCATATGACGCCCGGCTTGCTGTAGATAAGTGGGGATATTAGCTTGGTCCAGATGATTGATAGTAAATAAATGACAATCAACACTTGAAATTAATTAGTTGTTGGTTTAATAATTTGAACGGTAGCTGAAATGTATTGCCAAGTCTAGCTCCAATATAAATATTAAGTCAATCAATAATTTTCACATTTTTGTCTGTAGTAGCTCTAGACCAAAATATAAACGATGAAACTTTTTAGATGAATCTTTTTATACGACAAGGTGCGTAAAACATTGGCAGAATTTAAATTACCCAGAAATTATCAGATGTTTTTATTCAAATGTAGGCTAAACAATGACTTAACCACGTCCAAAGTTGATTAGGACTTTCAGGCTTTTATATCGCTCTAGATGTCGAGGTCTAGCTAGAAGGATGTTTTACGAACTGTTCAACATCAGATCATTTTGTCAATACATTTCTTACAACATATTGTACCATAACAAATAAAACAGTCTTTTACAGAACAACTTTCTTCATTCCCCGAGTAGATGGAAGTAATCTTTGAACACTAATACACGGCCTAGATATCCGACCGATAGATTAGCCTAGATATCCCACCGATAGATTAGCCTAGATTATAAGCAAATATCCCATCAATAGATGACTACATACCAAGACGTTTTGTCCATCTCTAGCAACAACAAAAATTCTTGTATTACGTCATATTACATCACGTGTTTTTTAGTTACGTCACAGCAAATAAATTGATGATTTCACATTTTGAAAAGTAAACAATCGTTGGAACCCTTCGATCAAACTACATCCATCTACACAGGTCTTTTCGCTGACCTAAAGTAAGTCAATGACCTTGAGCGGGTAGTGTAGGTCATTTTGTTCTCGTAAGTTTAATCTTAGTAGGCGGAGCTTTTTTTCTCTAGCTAGCATTAGCTACAATGTAAGGTCATAAAGTTAACAAACTAGCTAACCTTTAGGGGTCATAACTAAGTAGTTACAATGTAAAGTAGCTACAATGTAGGGTCATAACTAACAAAGTAGTTACAATGTAGTGGTCATAACTAACAAAGTAGTTACAATGTAAAGTAGCTACAATGTAGGGTCATAAAGCTAACAAGCTAGCTACCCTTTAGGGGGACATATTACTTGAGTATCCAATCTCTCACTGGCTATGATGTACACGGGGGTGCGAAGGTCTGAGAGAATTAACGAAAGGATAAACTTCCGGACATGCGCACATAATCTCAAGATGGCTGTTTGTTTTCCTGCAGTAGAGCCCCGCCCACTCAACCTGTGTTATATCCAGATAATGTTCCACTTGACTGATCCCACATATCACATGCTATCACTGAAAGTCAAGCACACGACCCCCATGAGCTCACGACCCCATGAGCTCACGACCCCATGAGCTCACGACCCCATGAGCTCACGACCCCATGAGCTCACGACCCCATAACACAGGGTCCCTCTAGAAAGAAAACCCCATGACCCAGCTGTAACTGACCCATCTGTAACTGACCCAGCTGTAACTGACCCAGCTGTAACTGACCCAGCTGTAACTGACCCAGCTGTAACTGACCCAGCTGTAACTGACCCAGCTGTAACTGACCCGGCTGTAACTGACCCAGCTGTAACTGACCCGGCTGTAACTGACCCAGCTGTAACTGACCCGGCTAGAGCGGCTGTCCAGCAGTCCACCTGCAGGCCAGAGAACCGTCTAGAACGTCCACTTTAAAAATGCCGTGATAAATTCATGTTCAGATGTGTTACATAGACCTAGGGCGTCACTAGGTGGGGTGCCACCCGGGGTGGTTAGTGAGGATATCAGCCTACCCGCTCCAATAATTGTGGCCCCCCCCCCCGTCTATTTTATTATTGTACCGGATAATACAATGTTGTGATAGTAGGGCCACCAGTGGGGCCACCAGCCACCAGTGGGGCCACCAGTAGGACCATCAGTGGGGCCACCAGCAACCAGTGGGGCCACCAGTAGGGCCACCAGTGGGGCCACCAGCCACCAGTGGGGCCACCAGCCACCAGTGGGGCCACCAGCCACCAGTGGGGCCACCAGCAACCAGTGGGGCCACCAGTGGGGCCACCAGCAACCAGTGGGGCCACCAGCCAGCAGTAGGGCCACCAGCCACCAGTGGGGCCACCAGCAACCAGTGGGGCCACCAGTGGGGCCACCAGTGGGGCCACCAGTGGGGCCACCAGCCAGCAGTAGGGCCACCAACCACCAGTGGGGCCACCAGCAACCAGTGGGGCCACCAGTAGGGCCACCAGTAGGGCCACCAACCACCAGTGGGGCCACCAGCCACCAGTGGGGCCACCAGCAACCAGTGGGGCCACCAGTGGGGCCACCAGCCAGCAGTAGGGCCACCAACCACCAGTGGGGCCACCAGCAACCAGTGGGGCCACCAACCACCAGTGGGGCCACCAGCAACCAGTGGGGCCACCAGCAACCAGTGGGGCCACCAGTGGGGCCACCAACCACCAGTGGGGCCACCAGCAACCAGTGGGGCCACCAGCAACCAGTAGGGCCACCAACCACCAGTGGGGCCACCAGCAACCAGTGGGGCCACCAGCCACCAGTGGGGCCACCAGTGGGGCCAGCAGTGGGGTCTTCTCCCAGAGGCGTAGCGACCCTACCCGGCGCACGGGGACAAACTTTCGATTTGCATCCCCCCCTCAAACTTTCGATTTGCACACCCCCCTCGAACTTTTCATTTACACCCCCCTCAAACTTTCAATTTGGCGCCCCCCCCCCAGGTCGGCGCCCGGGGACATATGCCCCCCGCCCCCCCTCTCGCTATACCTCTGTCCACTCCTTCCCTTCCCCGCCGTCACACATCGTCACAAAAAATCAGATGATCTCCCATAAAATAACGTCACAGCCTAGCCTTTAACCCCCCTCCCCCCCTCCCCTCAAAGTTGAAGTGTAATTTTTGTAATATTTAATTTTTAAATGCAAAAGTGTGACGTCAAACTATCTGACCCCCCCCCCCCACTCCCCCTCGTCACACATCGTCACAAAATTACGATCTCCCTCGTCCGCAAGGAGTGTGACGTCATTTATGGATTGCGCCCCCCCCCCCTTAATAATCGCTTTCTCTCTGATAGTAAAATCACCGGTCTATAAATAGGTTTGGACTACACACATTTTGTAGTACCTTGTTGTCAGTAGCCTACACGTCAATATAAACTTACTATTGCATGTTTATACTTGTTTAAATATGTACACACAGCTAAACACGGCGTCGACAAGCCTTTGTGGCGCCCCCCGCAATTCTTACCTCTATCAGTTGGATTATTTGACCAAACGACCTGTCTATTGGATGTTACGTCACCGCCCGCCACATGACCCCTAGTCGCCATTAGACAATTAACACCTCCCCGCTGAATGGACTAACCAGCTTCCCCACTGCTTTTATGTACACGTAACAACTGGCCGGGCAGGTCCATTATCCGCAGGGGGGGGGGGGGGGGCGCTAATAGCTTTCAGCTGATTTACGGGCGATTTGTATCGCTAGTTGATGACGTAAGTGGTTAACTGGTTCTTGGTCGGATGGTATTAGATGGTGTTAATGGTGTCGTTGTCAGACAGATGGTGTCGGATGGTTGTCTTTAGCCCGTGACTGACTAGACCGGTGTATCAGACCCCACGCAATCTCTTGTGTACATCAGTATTTTAAAACATTCTCTAGACATTTTTAGGCTAGTAACGGTAAACACGAAGACAAGTTGCATTACAAAGACAACTATATAGACAACCACCTACACAACCACCCACACAACCACCAACACAACCACCCACACAACCACCAACACAACCACCCACACACCCACACACAACCACCCACACAACCACCCACACACAACCACCAACACAACCACCCACACAACCACCAACACAACCACCCACACAACCACCAACACACAATCACCAACACAACCACCAACACAACCACCAACACAACCACCCACACAACCACCCACACAACCACCAACACAACCAACCACCCACACAACCACCCACACAACCACCCACACAACCACCCACACAACCACCCACACAACCACCAACACAACCACCCACACAACCACCCACACAACCACCAACACAACCAACCACCCACACAACCACCAACACAACCAACCACCCACACAACCACCAACACAACCACCCACACAACCACCAACACAACCACCCACACACCCACACACAACCACCCACACAACCACCCACACACAACCACCAACACAACCACCCACACAACCACCAACACAACCACCCACACAACCACCAACACAACCACCCACACAACCACCAACACAACCACCCACACAACCACCAACACAACCACCCACACAACCACCCACACACAACCACCCACACAACCACCAACACAACCACCCACACAACCACCCACACACAATCACCAACACAACCACCCACACAACCACCCACACAACCACCAACACAACCAACCACCCACACAACCACCCACACAACCACCCACACAACCACCAACACAACCACCCACACAACCACCCACACAACCAACCACCCACACAACCACCCACACACAACCACCCACACAACCACCCACACAACCACCCACACAACCACCCACACAACCACCCACACAACCAACCACCCACACAACCACCCACACACAACCACCCACACAACCACCCACACAACCACCCACACAACCACCCACACAACCACACACACAACCACCCACACAACCACCAACACAACCACCCACACAACCACCAACACAACCACCCACACAACCACCCACACAACCACCCACACAACCACCCACACACAACCACCCACACAACCACCCACACACAACCACCAACACAACCACCCACACACAATCACCAACACAACCACCCACACAACCACCAACACAACCACCCACACAACCACCCACACACAATCACCCACACAACCACCCACACAACCACCAACACAACCACCCACACAACCACCAACACAACCACCCACACAACCACCCACACACAATCACCAACACAACCAACTAGACGTAGCAAATAACTACCACTAAGATGACCATAATCAGATTTTGCCGGAGTTGTTATTATTGTGTTCACCAACACACCATGATTTGTTCTCTGTGTAACACACCATGATTTGTTCTCTGTGTAAGACACCAACACACCACAAGGTGTGCTGTGGTTGCCTGAAACTGTGTTGTGGTTGTACCTGGTGTGACAGGTTGTCCTTGAGAGGTTGTCATACAGGTTGGTTCTCTAGTTACGTAATGTCTGCTAGAGGTTGTCGTACAGGTTGGTTTTCTAGTTACGTAATGTCTGCTAGAGGTTGTCGTACAGGTTGGTTCTTTAGTTACGTAATGTCTGCTAGAGATTGTCGTACAGGTTGGTTCTCTAGTTACGTAATGTCTGCTAGAGGTTGTCGTACAGGTTGATTCTCTAGTTACGTAATGTCTGCTAGAGGTTGTCGTACAGGTTGGTTCTCTAGTTACGTAATGTCTGCTCTTGGTGGATTCTGTTGTATGTTTAGCTGATAATGTCGTCTGTCTAGCTTTTGTTGTAGGTCTAGCTATTGCTGTATCATGGCTGTATGTCTAGCTATTGCCGAAGGTCTAGCTATTGCTGTAGGTCTAGCTATTCTAGTATGACTATATCGTTATGCATATTGCTAATGTTGTAGGGTTCGATTGTAACACCTTCTAGTTATAGCTGGTGTAATAACTAATTAGATATAAATGTATTACCCACCGCCATTAAATACCAACTAAATAACACGAAATAAACAGTTGATAAAATAATGAACTTTCAATCATTCCTAACGTCAAAACACATTGAATGTTGGGTACCCGCTTGTATTGGACTTGTTCACTTTATCATGATATAAACTCGACCGTTTCTATGAACCTGCTATATTTCAAAATCCATTCACGAACTAAATCTAGATATATTACATGATTGATTATTCTTTACAAAAATACTAAGTGGCCGGACAGGGGAGAATATAGAGAAAACTTGTCTAATGATTCTTTTTATTTATTGCCTCCCTTGCAATGTTTCTCGCTGCAATATCGCACGGACCATTTTGCAAGCAGTAAAAAAATATATTTGAATAACCAGTCAAGACAGATTGATGATTTCTTGGTAATACAATAGAAACAGAGTACTAATAGCAAGGCCAAGGCTGTGGTACCATGGATGTGGTGTGGTACCTCGGGTGTGGTAGCTTTGTAGGTCTAGAAGTCTGAAAGAAACACTAGCCTAGATCTAGGCTGTGGTATCGTGCCCACTACAGCCGAGATCGAACAATACCTCCGTCATAATGCACGCATGCTACACGTATTACGTAATGTGTGTAATACGTCACCAGACCATTTCACTTGATATTTCAAAACAATGACAGTTTTATTTCAGGTAGTTATTTCATGTCGATAATTAACTGTGCTCAACTGATTGTAAAACTGAAATTAGATGATTAAAAAAAAGTTATAATCTAGTACTTGTCTAACTGGCGAGAAGTTTTTGCTTTTCGTTGACGGCGCGCGAATCTTCTTTTCCCGCCAGTCACCGCGACCTAGAGAGATTGGATGGATCAACTTCCTGTCTAGACACGCTATGGTTGTTGGCTGTTCAGTGTTGCTTCATCGTGGTGGGCGTCTCGGCGTGTTGTTGGAGGGGGGGGGGGGGGTGTAAATAAAGGCATCAACTTAGAGAATTACGGAGAAAATTGGCCTCCAGCAGTGTATGATTTATTGGCATCTGCCCACTCCTGTATTTGCAGACGATTGTGAGTCCGGCTCCCCAATGAACCAGCCAGCGTGCCACTACCAGAGCCAGTTGCAGACGACCAAGGACCAGCAGCCGTACATGGCCGACTCGGACAGCTGGGTGGACGAAGAGTCCGGCAGGTCCAGCAACAGGAAGATGAAGCGGTTGGTGCCAGACACGGAGAAGGACGACAGGTACTGGGAGAAGAGGAAGAGAAACAACATGGCGGCCAAACGGTCTCGGGAGAACAAAAGGCAGCAGGAGAATGACGTCAAGCAAAAGGTACGTGTTGTTGGTGCATGACGTCAAGCAAAAGGTACGTGTTGTTGGTGCATGACGTCAAGCGTACGTGTTGTTGGTGCATGACGTCAAGCAAAAGGTACGTGTTGTTGGTGCATGACGTCAAGCAAAAGGTACGTGTTGTCGCATGACGTCAAGCAAAAGGTACGTGTTGTCGCATGACGTCAAGCAAAAGGTACGTGTTGTTGGTGCATGACGTCAAGCAAAAGGTACGTGTTGTTGGTGCATGACGTCACTGAATGTTTGGTGTATAACGTCCATCTGATCTAAACAGTAAATCTAGACTAGTCCAAAAACTTTGTCCATGTATTTTTATGGCCTTTTGTCGGGTCTATGGTCTCAGTGGACCCTGTAGAGAGATATTTTGATGCTGAAGTTTTTTACCTTCTGATTTGACTAGGTTATTGCACGGGGCCTTAAAACCAGCGTCTTAAAACGAGGAACTAAAAATAAAATCTTACATTTAGGTAGTCGCGCCTGAAAATATACCTGAAAGAAACTGATTGGGGGGGGGGGGGGGGGACATGAAAGTCACCTGTTTGTGTTGTCTCGTCTGTTATGAGCAATATCCCGTATAAATAAATATTCCATTGATCCCAACTCCAGGTCGCCTTGTTGGAAGAGCAGAACGCGCTATTGCGTAAGGAAATCATCCTCATCAAGGCTCGCTACGGCATCCCGCCCGACCAGAGTCTACTCACCCCCGGGGAACGGGAGCAGTGCATGCTAGAGGTCAGGGCCGCACAGGTCGAGGCGCGGCGTCGCAAAGAGAGCGCCGGAAGTGCTGATGACGTGTCCTCTACGTCACCGAGCCTGTACCCAGTCAGTCTCAACTCTTCCACAGATGACTGTGACATGGACAGGAGGCTCAGCAGCGAGCCCCCCCTCTCTAGCCCCAAGGTCAAGACCAACAGCCTTGACCTTCCGTATGGACCCTCGGCTTACGGGCCCTTCACCCCGTCACCCAGCTGGGCCCCCAGCGTCCAGTGCTACACGGGAAATAACTCTGCCCAAAGCTTCTCGCCCCCAGCCGGCCACCAAGGGAAGTCCGTGGGGGGCCCGGGCCAGGAGAAATACAACCCGTCCTACCCGCTGTACGGCGGCATGGCCACACGGCCCTACGACTTCTACATGCAATACGCCAACTACGGCGCTGCTCAGATGTCCCAGGGGGAGGGCCACTACGCCGCCCCAGCAGATCTTAGCACCAATAGGAAAAAACAAGGCGGAGCCAAGGTGCAGTATGGGGGCGGGGCTAGAAACATGAAGAACACAGGACACGAAGACCATGTCCTCAACCATAGCCCCGCCCATGTCCTCAACCATAGCCCCGCCTACTCCTCTTTGTTTATGGACGCAGCCATGGCTTACTCCCTGGGTCACGTGACTCGCCACCACGAGGGCCGTATGCCGTCCACCCCCGCCCACATGAACTCTTCCAGTAACGTCAATAAAGAGCCCAGGGACGGGGTGGGGGAGGAGAACCTCAAGACGGTGGTCAGGGGTTGAATATCTCAAGACAGAATGAAGAGCTTAATGTGAGCTAAAGATTGAAGTGAGGTTTATAGAGAGGAAGTGAACTAACAATCAAGTCGGTGTGTTCAAGTCAGTGTTCAAGTCGGTGTGTTCAAGTCGGTGTGTTCAAGTCGGTGTGTTCAATTCGAGGTGTTCAAGTCGGTGTGTTCAAGTCGGCGTGTTCAAGTCGGTGTGTTCAAGTCGGCGTGTTCAAGTCGGTGTGTTCAAGTCGGTGTGTTCAAGTCGGTGTGTTCAAGTCGGTGTGTTCAAGTCAGTGTGTTCAAGTCGGTGTGTTCAAGTCAGTGTTCAATTCGAGGTGTTCAATTCGAGGTGTTCAAGTCGGTGTGTTCAAGACTTGGAGTGAAAGATCAGACATTCACTGACTGTTGTGTCCTGAATCCATATAAATGTCATAGATTATTCTACCCTATGTCTAGCAGAGTTGATTTATTTTGTGCATTTTTGTATGTAATGTCCATAGGTGCACCAACGTCTATAGGTGCACCAACGTCTATAGGTACACCTACGTATTAAAGACACACCCACCGGTAAAAGTATATATTTTCTACATGGATGCCTGAATAACGTCACATTATATCAAAACGTCCTACCGCTCCTTAAAATGACGTCACAAAGATCCATGCCCATCACTTCTAAAATAACCCTAACCCACACTAGTCTAACGTTGCTAAAATAACCTAACCCACACTAGTCTAACGTTGCTAAAATAACACACACTAGTCTAACGTTGCTAAAATAACCCACACTAGTCTAACGTTGCTAAAATAACCCTAACCCACACTAGTCTAACGTTGCTAAAATAACCCACACTAGTCTAACGTTGCTAAAATAACCCACACTAGTCTAACGTTGCTAAAATAACCCACACTAGTCTAACGTTGCTAAAATAACCCTAACCCACACTAGTCTAACGTTGCTAAAATAACCCTAACCCACACTAGTCTAACGTTGCTAAAATAACCCACACTAGTCTAACGTTGCTAAAATAACCCAAACCCACACTAGTCTAACGTTGCTAAAATAACCCTAACCCACACTAGTCTAACGTTGCTAAAATAACCCTAACCCACACTAGTCTAACGTTGCTAAAATAACCCAAACCCACACTAGTCTAACGTTGCTAAAATAACCCTAACCCACACTAGTCTAACGTTGCGTCACTAGGTCGATGCAGTCCAGGGTTACCACACCAGGCATTACCCAATACTAAAGACGCTACTGATGTTCCTATACATTACCCAATACTAAAGACGCTACTGATATTCCTATACATTACCCAATACTAAAGACGCTACTGATGTTCCGATACATTACCCAATACTAAAGACGCTACTGATGTTCCTATACATTACCCAATACTAACAACAACGCTACTGATGTTGCTATACATTACCCAATACTAACAATAACGCTACACATGTTCCGATACATTACCCAATACTTACGACGCTACTGATGTTCCGATACATTACCCAATACTTACGACGCTACTAATGTTCCTATACATTACCCAATACTAACGACGCTACTAATGTTCCTATACAATACCCAATACTAACAACGCTACTGATGTTCCTCCACATTCAACTAGTTCATGTATTTTATTGTTGTGGTGTGACTGGATCCTAAACTAATGAAGTAGGCCTACCCGGTAAAGCCCATGTATTTATATCAGTGAAAAAACGTACATGTCCGTGTTTGTGTCGTATAATTTTACTTTACATTACATTTACAATAATAATCGTAAATACCAGTAGATGAATCGTAATTTATGTAGTTTGGGATTGTGGGAAAATTGCCTAGCGTGGGTAATGGGTGTTATACTGCAGAAATATTATCCACCGGATAACCGCTTCGTTTAGGTTGAGCTAAAACATCGAGTTTTTACAAGCTTTTATTTAGCTCACTTCCTCTGTCTGTCTGTCTTGATTGAAACGCCCGTGTGAAATTGCAGGCACTTCTGACCGGTACGGTTCGTAGTTGGTACGTGGGTCAAGACATGAAGACAATGCATCGTGACATTCAATTTGACTTAATTGGTTGCCTAATTAATTTTTTATGAATTAATTAAAATTTAGAACGAATTAGTAGGCAGTTCTATCCACACGCGTCATCACGGCCGTGTTGGGCGTGGAGCGAGGGGGGCTCTACGTCAAAAGCTCGTCATCACGTTCAATAGGCGCGCGATGGTTTTTAGTCGGGTCAGCAATCTAGATCTTTACCACTAGACAACGCCATCCCATAATACTTTACTGAAACTTTAGCTATAAACTTGACAATGGTTTTTAGTCATGTAACTATTATAAATAAAACATGTAAAGTACTGAAAAAAAATTCATAAAAAAAAACGTTTTAATAACAAGCTTTTATGTAATAATGCACTAAAAAATAGGAAATAAATTATACACTACTATTTAAATAACTATAAAGAAAAGCGTGGGTCACTTACTTAAGTAACTATTGGATACTTTTACTAATATTTGAGAAGAGACCCACGCTTTTCTTTATAGTTATTTAAATAGTAGTGTATAATTTATTTTCTACTTTTTAGTGCATTATTACATAAAAGCTTGGTGTTGTGGTGTCTGATGGTGGTGTCTGATGGTGGTGTGGTGTCTGATGGTGGTGTCTGATGGTGGTGTGGTGTTTGATGGTGGTGTCTGATGGTGGTGTGGTGTCTGACGGTGGTGTGGTGTTTGATGGTGGTGTGGTGTCTGATGGTGGTGTGGTGTCTGATGGTGGTGTGGTGTTTGATGGTGGTGTGGTGTCTGATGGTGGTGTCTGATGGTGGTGTCTGATGGTGGTGTGGTGTTTGATGGTGGTGTGGTGTTTGATGGTGGTGTGGTGTCTGATGGTGGTGTGGTGTCTGATGGTGGTGTGGTGTCTGATGGTGGTGTGGTGTCTGATGGTGGTGTGGTGTCTGATGGTGGTGTCTGATGGTGGTGTCTGATGGTGGTGTGGTGTTTGATGATGGTGTGGTGTTTGATGGTGGTGTGGTGTCTGATGGTGGTGTGGTGTCTGACGGTGGTGTGGTGTTTGATGGTGGTGTCTGATGGTGGTGTGGTGTCTGATGGTGGTGTCTGATGGTGGTGTGGTGTTTGATGGTGGTGTCTGATGGTGGTGTGGTGTCTGACGGTGGTGTGGTGTTTGATGGTGGTGTGGTGTCTGATGGTGGTGTGGTGTCTGATGGTGGTGTGGTGTTTGATGGTGGTGTGGTGTCTGATGGTGGTGTCTGATGGTGGTGTCTGATGGTGGTGTGGTGTTTGATGGTGGTGTGGTGTTTGATGGTGGTGTGGTGTCTGATGGTGGTGTGGTGTCTGATGGTGGTGTGGTGTCTGATGGTGGTGTGGTGTCTGATGGTGGTGTGGTGTCTGATGGTGGTGTCTGATGGTGGTGTCTGATGGTGGTGTGGTGTTTGATGATGGTGTGGTGTTTGATGGTGGTGTGGTGTCTGATGGTGGTGTCTGATGGTGGTGTGGTGTCTGATGGTGGTGTGGTGTCTGATGGTGGTGTCTGATGGTGGTGTGGTGTCTGATGGTGGTGTGGTGTCTGATGGTGGTTTGGTGTCTGATGGTGGTGTGGTGTCTGATGGTGGTGTGGTGTTTGATGGGGGTGTCTGATGGTGGTGTGGTGTCTGATGGTGGTGTGGTGTCTGATGGTGGTACGGTGTCTGATGGTGGTGTGGTGTCTGATGGTGGTAGGGTGTCTGATGGTGGTGTGGTGTCTGATGGTGGTAGGGTGTCTGATGGTGGTGTGGTGTCTGATGGTGGTGTGGATGGTGGTGTGGTGTTTGATGGTGGTGTCTGATGGTGGTGTGGTGTCTGATGGTGGTGTGGTGTTTGATGGTGGTGTCTGATGGTGGTGTGGTGTCTGATGGTGGTAGGGTGTCTGATGGTGGTGTGGTGTCTGATGGTGGTAGGGTGTCTGATGGTGGTGTGGTGTCTGATGGTGGTGTGGATGGTGGTGTGGTGTTTGATGGTGGTGTCTAATGGTGGTGTGGTGTCTGATGGTGGTGTGGTGTTTGATGGTGGTGTCTGATGGTGGTGTGGTGTCTGATGGTGGTAGGGTGTCTGATGGTGGTGTGGTGTCTGATAGTGGTAGGGTGTCTGATGCGGATGTGTTTTTTGATGGTGGTGTCTGATGGTGGTGTGGTGTCTGATGGTGGTGTGGTGTCTGATGGTGGTGTCTGCTGGTGGTGTGGTGTCTGATAGTGGTGTTTGATGGTGGTGTCTGATGGTGGTGTCTGATGGTGGTGTGGTGTTTGATGGTGGTGTCTGATGGTGGTGTGGTGTCTGATGGTGGTGTTTGATGGTGGTGTGGTGTCTGATGGTGGTGTGGTGTCTGATGGTGGTGTCTGATGGTGGTGTCTGATGGTGGTGTGGTGTTTGATGGTGGTGTCTGATGGTGGTGTGGTGTCTGATGGTGGTGTAGTGTCTGATGGTTGTGTCTGGTGGTGGTGTAGTGTCTGATGGTGGTGTGGTGTCTGAAGGTGGTGTCTGATGGTGGTGTGGTGTCTGATGGTGGTGTCTGGTGGTGGTGTGGTGTTTGATGGTGGTGTCTGATGGTGGTGTGGTGTCTGATAGTGGTGTCTGATGGTGGTGTGGTGTTTGATGGTGGTGTCTGATGGTGGTGTGGTGTCTGATGGTGGTAGGGTGTCTGATGGTGGTGTGGTGTTTGATGGTGGTGTCTGATGGTGGTAGGGTGTCTGATGGTGGTGTGGTGTCTGATGGTGGTGTCTGATGGTGGTGTGGTGTCTGATGGTGGTGTTTGATGGTGGTGTTTGATGGTGGTGTGGTGTCTGATGGTGGTGTGGTGTTTGATGGTGGTGTCTGATGGTGGTGTGGTGTCTGATGGTGGTGTTTGATGGTGGTGTCTGATGGTGGTGTGGTATCTGATGGTGGTAGGGTGTCTGATGGTGGTGTAGTGTTTGATGGTGGTGTTTGATGGTGGTGTCTGATGGTGGTGTGGTGTCTGAAGGTGGTGTGGTGTCTGATGGTGGTGTCTGGTGATGTGGTGTCTGATGGTGGTGTGGTGTCTGATGGTGGTGTCTGATGGTGGTGTGGTGTTTGATGGCGGTGTCTGATGGTGGTGTGGTGTCTGATGGTGGTGTCTGATGGTGGTGTGGTGTTTGATGATGGTGTCTGATGGTGGTGTGGTGTCTGATGGTGGTATGGTGTCTGATGGTGGTGTGGTGTCTGATGGTGGTAAGGTGTCTGATGGTGGTGTGGTGTTTGATGGTGGTGTCTGATGGTGGTGTGGTGTCTGATGGTGGTGTGGTGTCTGAAGGTGGTGTCTGATGGTGGTGTGGTGTCTGATGGTGGTGTGGTGTTTGATGGTGGTGTCTGATGTTGGTGTGGTGTTTGATGGTGGTGACTGATGGTGGTGTGGT